GAGAAAATATTGTGTTAATAATTGATGGACAAATCTGCTGTATATTAATAACTATGTAAGTATAAAAGAATATGCAAGTGTCAAATTATGCTTATTTAATTACAAAAGTATCTAATTTTATACTCTTATATACTCTTCTATACTTACATAGTTATTGATATATAACACAGATTTACTCATCAATTATTGTATTAATATAATAATCTTCTTTCCAATAAGACTTTTCCTTTCAATATAATTTAATATCAAGATTAGGTAGAATATAAATTTGGAAAAAGATTACAAATGTATTAAGTGATATTAATCTCAATATATTATATATATGTATAATAATTATAAAAATAAGTCGTATCATGGCCATTTATCATTACTACTTTCTTTTCGTTATCATCCTTAATAGGGGAAATAGTAGAACATAGCTTCCCAAACTTTATCGATCTATTACACTTATATAACATTTATAATGTGCTTAAGAGTATACTACCGAGGTTTGATGTTTTTATGTAGTCCTTAAAGATCTTTCTTCTTTCGTTTAGTGCCTTTTAACATTATACCCAAGATCTGGTTCTTATTACCTAATCTAATTTTCTAGCCAAGATGAATATAATTGTTGACGACTTCGATTAAGTAGTACCTAGTTGATTACTTTTGAAAAAAAAACAAAAGATACAAATAAAAGTTATGCAGTTCACGAGGCACGGCGATGTCAAATAATGGAAATTTTTTTCTCTTAACAAACCTAGCAAGTAGTCTAAGTTAGATAGGTATTTTCTCTCATTTATGTTATTTTTCTCATTCCAGTTCAATTTCTTAAATGTTTTCAAGGCCCAAGGTAAAAACCTTCGGAGAGATCTCTCCCTGACATATTCTTACAGCTACCATATGACATATTCTTTTCAGTCTTCACATGCAGATTTACGCAGGATGTGACAAGTTTTTAAAAATATTTTATATTTGCGATGTAAGGTTCGTCGATACGATCTGCTAATATCTTCTAAACTTCTTATTCTTACTTAAGAAAATAAGCATTACAAAACTAAAAAAAAAAAAAAATAAAAATATATAATCAGAGTATGTTTATATAGAACAGAATATAAAGTTTCTTATAAATGTAATTGCAAAATAACATTTTAATTGCCAATAAATTTTATCATCAATAGAAAACTTAATTATTTTGATATGATTATTAAAGATTTTGATTATCTTTATACATATATAAAAATATTATATTATAATATTCTAAAATGATATTATTTTTTGCACTTAATTCTTCAAGAAATTTCTTTAGAGTCACTTTTATACCGATTGCTTTACATGTACATGCTTTACATGCTATTCGTAATTGTTCTCTATATATAAAAATTCAATTTACTGAATTATTTTATAAAGCATGATATATCTACAGAATTGTAAAAGAAAACTCTAAAATACAAAGCAATTATATTTCTGTAAATACAAATAAATTTTTAGAGACAAATAAATATCATCTTGTAAAAAAAAAGGCAGAAGCACAATCTTAATTGAACAAGGAAAACTTTTTTAACGTGGACAAATAATGTATTTTATTATGGATTGAACATTAACTTAGCATAACATTTGACATTTATGATATTTTGTTGCATCATATAAATTATTGGTTTTTTATTCAAGTTAAATGTCAATAAATTTACACAGATATTTTTGAACTTGTATATTATAATAGTTCTATTACAAATTAAATATTATATATAGAAAGGAACAACAATACTTGATGTTTATAGAATGTTCATTTTTCTACAATTAACTATTGATAATATTTGTTTACATTATTCTTTTTTATCCTTAGGAGTAGGAGGATACCAATTAAGGTAAATTAATCCTGATGTTTTAGCCTATGAAAAAAGAATATCATATATATATATATATCATATATATATATATCATATATATATGTATATATGTATATATATTACTTTTTATATTTCATGCATTATAAACAATTAAGTGTAAAAGATTCTACTTACCATAATGAAAGTAACTACAGTAATGGCAAGACAAGCAGCTAACTGTATATTATAAGATGCTTGCTTTTTATCATTAGCTTTTTGCCACGATCCTTGTGGAACTGGTAGGTCATCCATTGATGGTGGTTTATAATTTGTAGGTCCATAAATTGAATAGGAACGATTACCTATAAGTAAGAAATAAATCACTTATCATAAATTATAAAATATTCTTATGCTTTTTATAATATAATTAATGAATTTTATTAGTCGGCTTATTAAATGTTTATACTTTCTAGATTACTTATAAACATATAAAATATACTACTACAATTAAATATAGTAAGAATTATAATTATATCATTTTTTATATGTATATTAATATTAATTACATTTTTTCGTTTATTATGAAATATATTGAATCAACTCCCTTTTAATCTTAAAAATAAAAATATAGTTAACATATGCATATATATATATATATATATATATATATATATATACACCCATATATAACATTATTTAACCTTTGATCAAATTAACTATTATTATTGGAATATAGCGATATGATATTTACATTTTGAAAAATGTGTAATAAAAATTATATACATACAGAAATAAATTAACACAATTTATAATTTATAAATGCAATATTATTATGTAAGAATTTGTATTATAGAATTATTTAGTTATAAAGTATATTAATATTTATTTTCTTACTCATTCGAGGAACATTTTGTATAACAGATCGCACTATGTGTTTAAACATTTTTTTATAAAATTAAATTTTTTATAATTTTTTTTAAAGAGAAAGCTTTCGTATCTACTCGAATGTATCAAGAGGAAGAGAACACTAAACTGTAGACAAGAAACTATTGAATGCAATTCTTCCATCGAGAAGAAAATTTGCCTTAATGGTAAGTGACTGTTTTACCGATTGAATTTGAAATTTAATAATTTGAATTTAGCATGAAAACAATTTGATATAAGTAATGAAACAAAAGAATTTTGTAGTGTAATTATACGATTTATATACAATTGTTCGTTAAATATTATTTTTATTGACCTTAATAACAAAAGTATTTCAATATGAATTTAAATATTGTATATGAATCTCCAAATATAAATGACGTAAAAACCAGATGTTTAAATGAAAGAAATATAACAACACAAATATTCACGAATTCTACATTTAAGCCTATTTTTCTCGAAAAAGTAAATTTTGGAAATGTATCTTTGGGAAACATGTAAATATCTTGCTTATAGCAAAACTATAAAAATTATAAAAACTAATATTAAATACTTCTGATTTTTTTATAGTGTACATCATCTTATATTAATACATCCTGCCCCAAATAAAAAAGTTTCGTTTGTAGTTTTACCATTTACAAAAAATCCTTGTATTGATATTTATCCATTAGAAGGTAAGAGTTTATATTATTATTTTTATTGTTTTTCTTATTTTGTATTATATTTAGGAAATATAAAACCAGATTGTAAACCTGCAGAAATTATGATAATTTATAGACCTTTAAGCTATATTACTTTGAATTTTGAATTACAAATATATATACCTGAACTATCCAAAACACATGTAATAACATTTTATGCACATACTAAACCAAGATTGAAAAGGTACATTGTCGCAATATTACTGTCATTTTAAAATGTTAAATATATTAAGTATTATTATTATATCTAAATATTATTTCTTTATTTAGAAATCTACATGAAAATACATATAGATATAAAAAATGTATAAAAACAAAGATAAATAAACTAACTAAGAAAAAACCTATTCTATTAAAGAAAATAAACTCTACATTAGAAAATAAACGAAGAATAGATACGATATATAAAGGACATAAACAGTATGAAAAAAGATCTTTAGAATGGTCGTACAAAATTCATATGATGCAAGTAGTAAACCATATATATGATAAATATTATGAAAACTTTTGTAGTGAACATGAATTGAGAGGTAATACTATTTATTATATTATGACTAATTAATCCAAGAATTAAAATAAATAATGTTTTTTCTATCAGATAGGTCCCTTAAATATTTATTTATTAGAAATGATTGAACATAAATTAAAATTACAAGATTTATTTTTATATAAATCAGAAGTCTATTGCAAAGAAAATGATCGAGCAATGATTCATCATAAACCAAAAATTGGTTTTAATGCCAAATTTCTTTCTATCGAAGAACTACAAATAATTATGATGGAACGCAAATTTAATTGGAATTATTATAAATGTTCAACAATTACAACACAGTTTAAAGAGTTAATTAATAGAGATAAATCTATAAAAATAAAACAAAGAATACTTAGAATTGCTTTAAAAGTATGTTTTATCATATTGCTTTATTCTTGACAAATACATGAACTATTTTTTCTGTTTTATTTCAGTATCCTGAAACTACAATTCCATTAGATACCAATAAAAAATGGTCTTTATATTATTGTAAAATAAATATTTTTATTGAAGCTGCTCGCAAGATCATTTTAAAAAACCGATTAATCAAAATTCTTAAAAAGTTAAATAATTTAACATTTTTTCAAACAGAAATATTAGAAATAAATAATGAAAGCAGTAAATAATTAACAAATGAAAGTACAAATACTCAAGAAAATTGAGAAAATTAAAGTTAAATTCTGGAATAAAATTTTATTAATAATATTATATCCTTATTAATTTTATTAGAAAAAATTTAATTAACTATGTCTTTCCTTAATATTATTGCACAATATAATTTATAGGCAATATTTAATGGCAAATATTTAATTCAATACATTTTTGTCTTATGGAAAATTTGCAAATGATTAGAAACTATCTGTACAGTTATTAAATATTAAAAACAAATTTAAATGTATTATAAGAATATTGAAGTTTATATGCATTAATTAAAATAGAGAGAATTATGTAATATAAAATATTATTATTATAAACATATACTATTTATAAGATCTAATTATATTCACTTTTAGGAATAAAAAGAAAAAATATATAATTGATTAAAATGTATGTTATTGGACTAATATAATTCAATATCAATTAATAATGAAGATAAAGCAGGTATTCAATTAAATGAACTTACTAACTTATGATATAAAATGTAAAACGTTACAAGCTCATTAATTCACATACACACATACATATATAGTGCCAAATATTTGTACCATGAAAAATTTTTAAATTGAATAACTTCCCACAAGGAATTATTATAATCCTATATAAAATTACAAATATATTTCATATATTCATGACATTTTGTAAATATAAAGCAATTTATATAAAGCATTTACAATTATAGAATTAAAGCATAAATTAATAAGATATTCAGTATTAAAAATACTGAATTCGTAACTTTCATTTATCTATTCTTTGTCTTTTGTATGAAGACGCATGTGTTTCTTTAAATTATCCAATCTGTTACAGCGACGATCGCAAAAATCACACTGATAAGGCATTGAATTACTATGAACAACAACGTGACCATTTAAATGGCTTATTTGCTTAAAACGTTTACCACAAATTGTACAAGCATATGGACGTTCATTCATATGTGCTGATGCTATATGTGTTTGTAAATTAGTTTTTCTAACAAATGTTGCTTTACAAATGTCGCATTCAAAAGGTCGAATATTTGCGTGAATAGCTAAATGAGATTTGAGAACATTTTTGTGTTTGAAATTTTTTTCGCAAAGATGACATTGGAAAGGACGTTCATCATTGTGTACTTTCTTGTGAACAGACAAATGTGCAAGCTGTTTAAACATTTTTGCACAAATTTCACATTGATACGTTCGACCATCTTCATGAGCAGCACTGACGTGCCGACGTAGCGTATCTGCTAACGTGTATCGTTTGCCACATATTTTGCAAGAAAATGGCCTTTCGTTTGTATGTGTCATAAGATGTCCATTAAGATTTCTTTTCTCAAGAAATCTCGCTCCACACACATCACATTGATATGGTTTTTCACCATTATGAATATACATATGTTTTTTTAGTGAATTTGATAAGCTAAATCTCTTTGAACATATAGTGCATTCAAATTTTCGCTCTCCAGTATGAACTAACATATGAGATTTTACATGACCAGCTTGCTTAAATCGTTTACCACATATTTTACATCCAAATTGACGCTCGTGTGTATGAGTAAATATATGACGTTCTAACACACTCTTTGTTGTAAAAACCTTTTTACAGTTATCACACTCGAAAAGACGATAAATTTCTTTTGACTTTAGTATTGATTCACCTTGATGTGATTGAGAATGAGTTTTAAGTAAATCCAGAGATTCAAATTTAACACAACATATTGCACATTGAAAAGATCTATAATCTTTATGTGTCAATGAATGTTGACTAAGATGACCTAATTGTTTAAAACTTTTATTACATATTTTACAAACATAAGGTCTTTCATTTGTATGAGAGCGCATGTGTCTTTTTAATACACTAGGAAAACTGAATTTTTGTTTACAGTATGAACATTCTAATGTTGGATTTCCATTCAATCTTGATATTCTATTTTCTTCTTTCTTCCTGGAAAATTGTCTTCCATTGATAGAATTTGGTTCTTTTATAGATCTAACACATTTATTCGTATGGTTTAGTACTATGTTACTACTTTGATGAGATTTCATAATTGATTTATGTATCTTTGGAATTTCCTCTGTTTCCATACTTCTTTGTTTACTAACATTTATATCAGTATACTTACTACAGCTATTATCATTTTTTATGCAATCTGTATGACTTTTATTTTGTTGATAATTCTCATGAAATTGTTGCATATGTTTTTCATATAATTTCAAGATTTGGAATGTTTTATTACACAATGTGCAATCAAATTGTCGTTTCTTAATATGAGTTTTTACGTGATTTTTCAAATGTCCCAGTTTCATGTATTGTTTATGACAAATTTTACATGTTAAATTTTGGTTATTTAGACAAAGATTACGTTCTTCAATATTTGGTTCTGTACATGTTGAATCTTCCATTTGTAAATTATCCAAAAATGTTTCACTTTTAACACTAACAAATTTAAAGTTATTTGAATTTTTATGAAATTGAAAAGAATCATCATGATTGTTTTTATGATTGTTATATGACACATCATCGTATTCAATATGGCACTGAAATAATAAAAAATATGCAATAAATTAATTACCATTATATGAATTATAATATTACCTTAATAATACATATACATACATTATCATTTTTATCTGTATCAGTTGTATTTATTGAAATTATATTTCCAGAAATATGAGTCAAATTATCAAATGTAATAGTATTATTTTGTTTTTTATTTAATGTAACATTTATCCATTCTTCTTCTGTCCACATATCATTTGTTGTATTTTTAGCGATGATTAATTTTTGAAACTCTTGATGAACATTTTGTCCAAATAATACATCACATGGTATTTTACCATTTTGACAACGATATGTTGAATTTTGAAAGATTTGTATAAATTTCAAGCCTTCATACCATGTTTTTCCAGGATTTTTGTTTAACCAACATTTTAATAAATTTTTAAAATCTCTACTATCTTCTTCGCATTTGCACACATTTCCATGTAATATAATAAAATCTTTCCATAAAATACGTAATTCTCTGACAATTTGTTCAGCAAAATTTCGTCCATTTCCACTTTGTAGAACTTGAGGAGCCCCAATAATTGCTAATATATCTAGTAACTTATTTGCTACTTCTTTTGCTGTGTTACTGTGTAGAGCATGTAAGACTACAAATTTCGATGGTAAGTCTTCATAAACCAAAAAGTACTTATAAAAATATGTTTGTTCTAATGGCATTTCTATAACATCAATTTGACCTCTGCGGCATAATGTTTCATGTATACTGTCAATCTCCGATTGTATATGTGCATTTTCATGATGATTAATAATAATCTTAGTTGACGTGGAGTTTAAAGGTTGTGATTTATGATTCTGTAAAATATATTATGATCACTGTTGAAAGATACTATAATAGGATTATTAATATATACATAGATATAATTTATATAATACTTACTGCTGTTATTATATTTGAAGAAGTTTCTTCATAATTTATTTTTTCTTCTTTATTCGCAGAATTTTCAGAATGTTTCATATTCTTTAAGGCTTGAAAGTTACGCTTTTTCTTTTGTAAATCTGCTTCTTTTATTACAGATACAACGTTATGATTATTCTTGTTGACAGTAAAAAATTGATGCAATGAACTTTTTATATATTTGTTCCCTGAAGTCCAATCTGTATCCACAGAAAGCTTTTTACTCATTTCTATCATCTGACTCTCTTATATTCATCTGACTCAAATAATTTTTTTTGTCTTGAGTTAGTTTGAAAACACCTAACCACATAATTATATTTTTTTTTTATATTTTTTTATGACATGGTTGTGTTAAGAAAGATTTTTCTACGATCATTCTCATTACAATGATATTGATAGTTTTTAATGAAACGTATGATTATTGCAGGGTAATTACTGATGATTTGTGTATAACGTACCTATAAAGTGAAATTAAATAAGGCTTGTTGTAGAACAAAATAAATCATTTGTTTACAAACATGTCACTTGATAAAATTAATTCTGAATTTTGTATTCCTTTGTATTAGATTTTCTCGTCTTTCACATTTTAGCATTTTTCTTCTGCAATACTTCATCTTTTCATATATAAATTAAGTCGTCATTCAAATCAAATTAATAATTCAAAGAAAATTTTTAATCGATTTTATAATTCTAACCTATAAAATGTTATACGATATCAACTTACAATCAAAAAATTGTGCTGTTTCTTTTCACATTACATACATATCGATTAATAATAATCCACTTAATTACAAATTAATTCTTTTTACAAGTCTAATCCTTTTAAGAATAAAATAAAATGAATACTCATTTTATAATTCAGTTCTACAGCAGCGCATATAAAAGCTTAATCTCTCGTTTGTTCTCCTTAAAACTTGATGTTAAGTATATGTATTTAGAAGAGAAAAAGCTATTGGTTATTGAATGAAAATAAATCAGTTGATCATTGTAGAAATTATTTACACGATCGTTTAAATACACAATTGATACGTTTCCATTTAGTTTGTTTATTATTCTATGGTTGAACTATATGCATATTTATAATGTTCTATCGCTTCCTATCTTTTTTTTGATAGGAACTGACACAATAGATTTTTCTTTTATTTTTTAATTTATTTGAACGTAGGTTATAGATATTCATAAAAAAATGAATTTAATTTGTTTCAACTGTAAATATATAACATACATAAACAGTTGTAGTATGATATGTGTTTTTCTGTATAAAAATCGCATGTCATCAGAATTTAAAAGTAATCGTGTAAGTACTTTGGTCTGTTTGTCATGCGCAAATTTAATCTCTCATAAGCCCCACAGTCGTTAAATGTATTCTCAAGAGTTGACTGGGCAATGCAACGCTGTCAGAACTGTCACATTGTAATTTTTGTATAAACGAAAGAAAAAAAAAATATATATATATATATATCTATATATATCTATAGTTTTCACGGATTCAATATGGGAATTAACAAGCGACTAAGGTTCGGAACATTTTTGGCAGTACTGGCTGTTTTAGCCGGTTTATATTACAGAAATTCTGAGGATATATTACAAAAACGTCTGTCAGCTTTGTTACATGGCTTAGAAAGGATAGAAAACAAACATTCTATTACAAACAAACCTAAAATCGCTGTAGGTTATGGTATATGTACAGATACATATGTTGATGCAAAGCATTTATTACATTATTCAGATAAAATTGGCTTGCCAGAACATTTTGATGAAATCAATACAGAAGAAGAACTTTTAAAAAGTTTTGCTTATTATTTTCGCCATGGTGCTGCTGCTGAGTAAGTAATCTTGATTTTTTTCTTTAATAGAAATCTTTATAATAATGGATAATTCTTTCAGGCGATACATGCCAAATCGGACATTATTCGATCAATTAGTTAACAAAGCTCGTGCATTTCCTTCATCCTATTCAACAATTGGAGGAAATGCAGCAATAATGGCACTACGATTTGCACGAGAAGGCTGTGATGTGATATTAGCTGCGAAATTAACAAAATCATTGCACCAAATGATTCCACAAGTTATTAGTGTTGTTGGTGGTGAAGTAAAACGCGATGATGTTCATTTAGTTTTAGAATACAAAAGTGGAGATATTTGGGGACCTTATTCTAGTACTAGAGCAAATAGGTAAGTATAATATATAATGGTGATAGAACATTACAAAATATGATTATACATAATTATATTTACATTTCTATATCTATTAGGTATATTATTCACAATGATGAAAATAATCCAGTTATTAGTTCTTTTAATGCTTTTGATAAAATTCTATCAGCTACAAACCTTGATTTACTTGTAGTCAGTGGTTTGCAAATGATGGATAATTATCCATTTAGAGAAGGTAATGTGACTATATAGCACTGTGTAAGTTGTAACAATTTTTGCATTTATATAATTTTATACATTTATAAATTGTATGTAACTCTTTATCTTTTTGTGTAAAGGAGAACGTGAAAGAATTCTTGGGAACATAAATAAACAAATGGTTAATAGACCATTACATACAAAAATACATTTTGAAATGGCCTCATTTGTTGATGACAACTTACTTTCTGAACTTTGTAACTTAGTTATTCCTTTTGCTGATAGTCTAGGAATGAACGAGCAAGAAATAGCTAATTTATACAATTCTATGTATTATGGCAATATTTCATTAGTTGCTAATTCAACTCCAAGAGTTGCTACAGTTTTAGATCAAATGAGAACATTGTTTAAACTCATACGTTTAAGAGGAAAATCTATTTCTAATTCACGTTTACTTACTCGTATGCATGTACATACTTTAGCATACCAAGCAATATTTACTGTGAAAGATACTGTTTGGAAAAACACAATGGCTGCAGCAGCTAAAGCATCTTTAACAGCTCACAGACATGTTTGTGCAACAAGCAATGTAAGTAATATTAGAACTTCATTTGAATGAAATCCTTTTCTAATCATATCTTCAATACTTATGTTTTTTTTATTCAGATTGATATTCGAAAAGCATCATTAGTTATGGATGAAAGCTTTTCAACGTCTAATACTCATGGTATGAGAATACCTTTGGATGTTGATAAACCAGTTTCTTGTTGGGAAGAGACTTTACTTATAGAAAAAGAAAACATTCCTATTGAAGTATGTGTGGCTCCCGTGTTAATTTGTACACAAGCAGCTCAAACTGCCGGCGGTGGCGATAATATTTCAAGTGCAGGTCTTGTTCTTCAAATTTAAATTTTATAATTCAATGCAACAATATGTATATTGATGTGCATTGTTTCATAACTTTTATAATTTGATTTTATAACATGGAATGTTTTTTCCTATATCAAAGTATTTACTACTGTATTTAATATGCTTTACTTTAGAAGCATTCCAATGAAAATCAGCATTCCAAATATATTGTCATAAGCATTGTTCGATAGAAATTTCGTATAAATAAGCATACGTACATCAAGAATTTTTGTTACGATAAATGAAGTATATTCATTGTAATAAGCGGAATTTAAATACTCATATAAGAAAAAAGTAAGCAAAAAAGATTTGTATATAAAATTTTGTTATGAAATGATAAGATAAATGCCATTGCACATAATTTTATTAAGTAGAGTTTGCTTTAATATGAAAAAAACCCAAATAAACTACGCCATTACTTAGATATGCTACAATGTCAATGTTAATGGTTCTTGAATAAACTAAATAGTGAAAATATATATTTTTATATGATCCTTATATAATAAAGATATACGTGTCCTATAAAACTTCTAATTTGTAATAATACTTTTATTAGTTTTTAAATTGGACACAGTAAAAGATGTTGATATACATATTGAATAATTATACTAGGGTCTTTTAATAAGGTAAAATATAACGTACAACTTATTTTGGTGAAAACTCTATTTGTGTTCAAAGGAATGACATTATAATCAATAACAATGAATGACATTGATTAAAATTCTTCCATGAAATAGTTGTGTACCGAGTTATCAGAATAATCACTCCAGTTCTGATTTTGTTATACATTTTCTTCCTTAGTACTGAACAACATAATGCAACTCTTAAAGCAAAAGAATATCTGAATAGTGTCTAATAACGAGACAATGAATCAAAGTGATTTACCTACGAATGGCTTTTTCTTAATCTTGCCTTATCATAAAAAATCTTTGTATTTTAATGCGAAGATTAAATTATCTATGAACAATGTTATAGAATCGTGTCTCCTTCATCAATACCTAACATTTTTAGATCATCAGGACCAGGTTGCGTATCAGCTTCCACTTCCGCTTGAGTTATCTCGGGCGGTGGTTGATCCATGTATTCTGGTCCATACCCAACGCAACCTAACATACTGTACATAGATGAATACATAACGTTACTTTCTTGCTGACTTTGCTGTTTACTTTCTGTTTCTTCTTTAGGAAAAATAATATTCAAAGCTTCTTGTAAGTCGTCAGGTAAAGGAATGCTTGGATCTGGTCGTTTCTCGGTAGGTTCTGGTATATCCGATATATCATGAGTTACTGTTTCCACAGATGGTAACGTAGGAGGTGGAGGATTTTGATGATTTGTAATAAAAGTTGGAGGATTCTGAATTTGGGGTGGAGGATTTGTAACGAAAGGCGGATGTGGTTGCATAGGAGGCCGCAAAACTTGATGAGGTGAAAAACGTGGTGCTGTTTGCATAAACGGCGGTGGAGTAGACATAAATGGAGGTGGCATAGGTCTACTTGGAGTAAATGTTGGCCTATTTTGTATATGTTGTTGTTGGGGCTGCTGCTGTTGCTGCTGCTGCTGTTGTTGTTGTTGCTGTGGTTGTGGCTGTGCCTGTGACGTTGGTTGTTGTTGCGATTGTGGTTGTTGCTGCTGTTGTTGTTGTTGATTTGAAGGGAATGATGGTGGTGGCCGATTTAAAGGTGGAGGAGGATGAGAAGGTACTGTCACTTTTGTTGTACTTTGTGTTTGTTTTTGTTGCTCTATTATTGGTTGCTCAATGACAGTTTCTTCAGATTGATCTTCGATCTCCATATCGACAACTTGTTGCGTCGGTTTCGATTCATTTAAAACAGGTGGAGGCGGGGCGACTAATATCTTCATTGGTGGAGTTTTATTCGCTTGATTTGCATTATTGTTTAAATTAACCGGTGTTGCCAATTTTGTTATATGTACTACTCCCGGTGGATTTATTATTTCATTGGGAACTTTGGGAGTATCTTCAAATTTGCTTTGTTGATAAGGCAATGGAGCAATATCTTTTTCAGGTAACTTCGGTTCTTCGGTTTTCTTTTTAAATAGTGGTAATCTACCAATAAAAGGTAATTTACCTTTTGTCACCTGTGCTGACTTTTTAGATTGAACACCACCTTTTTTTGATTTAGAAGCCGATTCATTTGTTTTTTTCTCAAATTTGGATTCGTCATTTGATGAATTATCATCTCTTCTATCTTTATCATATTTTTCATAATTTCTTTTTGGACTATCGCGCCAACTTCTTTCTCGTCTCGGTGATTCATTTACATCTCGCTTTCGTCTATCCTCATAATAATCTCTCTCCCTGTCTCTTTCGCGATCTCTTTCCCTATCCCTATCTCGATCTCTTCCTCGTCTTCTGTCATACCTACTATATCGATCATATTTATCTTCTCTTCTATCATATTTACGATCGCGATCATCTTTATACCTATCTCTCTCGCGTTCTCTTTCTTCTTCTTTTTCAGTGCTTTTGCTTTCCGATGGTTTAAGAGTCATATTCACCTGTTGTTTTGTCCAAAAGCCCATGTGTGGTTTAGGCATCTCTTCTGGTTTAGGTAATTCAATTGGTTTGCTCGGTAGAGGTTGTACTTTGTCTTCATCTTTTTTAATCCAAAATGGTTTCGGTGGTTCTTTTGGACCCCATGCTTCCAAACTTTCAGATTTTTTAGAAAAGCTACTTTGCTCTTGTTCTTCTTCTTCTTCCATTATCATTTTTTCTTGACTTTGTGTTCTATTACTTATAGATTTCATTTCTTCTTCTTGCTTAGCTTTTAATTTATCTCTGATTGAATTTAAAAGTTGCCGATCGTCTGCTTCTACAGGTTGCTGTTCTGGAGTAGTTGCTTGATGAACTTGTACATTTTTTGACCAATGACCTTTTAATTTGATTCTATGGTAATCAATTTCTTCGTTGAGAATTGCTTGAGTAGAAGCTTTCATTTTATTTCTCATAGCAACACGTATACTCTTGGACATATCTTGATCGGAATCAGATTCTGAATTCTCTGATTCGCTAGACGTATCGCTAGCACTACTCCTATTTCTACGTTTCTTGGACTTTTTCGACTTTTTCTTATTTTTTTTAGATTTTTTGGACTTTGGTGGTGGATCATCATCTTTTTGTTTTTGTAATTCCATTTGTATTTGTTTGTGTTTTTCTTCTGAAAAGGCTTTTTCACGGTCAGCCATCCAGTCCGTTTCCCAATGTGGATTTTGTTCAACAAATCGCTGCGAAAAATATAAAAATTTCTTTTTTTTCGAAACAACCAAGCACGTTTAATTTACTTACAGAAAAATTCTCAGAATGTCTTTTAGATTTCAGATGCAAACTCGCGCAATGAAGATCTCCAATCCAGGAATTACAGAGCTTACAGTACCATGCAGTTGCTGCACTGAAGAACTGTAGTCCTATAATCAAATAATATTTTAATTAGCATTACTTAAACTTTAAAATATGTAAACAATTGTAAGTTCATAAAGAATGACCTTATGTTCTGCCACGACACATTCATGTCACTGAAAACAAAAATAATATATTAAATGCTGATCAACAAATACTTGAATACATTAAATATTCTTCATCAAGTCCCACGATGTTCGCTGGAAATGAAAGAGGAATAAAAAAACCTTTATTACTTTTTTCGTATTATCATACAAGTAGTACAAACAGTATTAATACATATAATTTACATAACTGTACTTGTAAAAAATGGAATATACTGTAATTGTTTAACTAATATTATTTTTACTTGCATCAACATAATTCTAATTTTTTTTTTCTCATATAATAAACATTTACAGTATATTTTACAAAGATTTTCATATAATACATCACGTTTACATATTTATATATTTTACTTGTTCACATATTTCTGTAGTTTTTTATTAATTAGTACGAATAAATTTAAACATGATATCATGTAAAATATATATCTTCACTAACACCATCACTGTGTATGTACGTTAACATTATTTGCAGATATCACATCTTGATACCAGACACAAGCCTATACATGGTGATTTTAAATAAGTGCTTATATATGAGAGAAAGAGAGAACGAGGGGGGAGGGGGGAGAGAGAAAGAGAGAGAGAGAGAGAGAGAGAGAGAGAGAGAGAGAGAGAGAGAGAGAGAGAGAGAGAGAGAGGGAGAGAAAGGTAAACAGTTTCATTAAGACAAACCAAAATTTCAAAATTCTTTGAAGTTGCGCCTCTCAAAGTAGTCTAAAATCCAGTGCATCTGTATAGAGCATATAACATTGCTAATAAATTTATTATTAGTAATCCAAACAGAATGTAAAGTATATATACTCAAATAATAATTGAATTAGAAGAAGGTTCTACCCGCCAAATCTTACAAATCTTATTACCTCTAAAAACTGTTTGGACAAAATTAATACTTTATTTTGTTAAATTTATTGTATTTAATATCAGAAGAAAATTTATAAGCAATGTATATATGCATAGAGCTCTTCAATACATACCGGACAACACAATGTCTGTGCACAAGCTACGGAATTGTATTCTATTAGTAATTACCCACTGAAATTAACCATACCTTTGATTGGTGTTCTTTTCGTTGGTAGTCCTGGATAAAAGGGCACTTCTTTTTCTGTTCCTTCTCCATTCTGCTCATGCCATGGCATATCAACTATCTTGCGTTCCTGTAGCATGAAACATGATTTCAATAATAATTCTTAATATTCACTGTAAAAAGTTTGGTACTTTTTGGTAGGTATTGATTTGATGCATCAATCAGACTATGTACCAAGTACCTGCATATATAGCTCATTAGTGTAATAAAGCATCCACTTATAAATATTTTTTGACTTATAAAGACATACTCCTAACCGAATCCATTTGTTCTCTTGTAATTCAAATCAATAATTGCATATATTTCTGGTTCCTGTTTTAGTAACTGATAAATATTATTTGTCAAAGTGAATTTTACACAGAATTTTCTAAGTCTACTTGTAAACGATGAATTAACAACAGCAATGAAAGGAAAAATAAAATATTGTCACTTACTAAGCAAACTTCTTTGTGCTCATTGCTATGAAGATGATTCAAATATTCCTTTGCCGTTTTAGGGAATATATCGCAAACTTTGCACCAATGCATTTCTGGATCATAATGTATGAAATTGTACATGGGTTTAGAATCTTCAGGAGATCTCCTTTCTCTACCTTCTCTATCAGCTTTACATTCTTTATCGGAATCCGTTACTGATGATCTATCAGGGGAATCAGACTTTCCTGTAGGGAAGTCTTCTTTTGGACTTTTTGAACGTTTATTCAATTCTAATTTAAACTTGCTTTTTAAATCATCTACTGTGGCTTTATCACCAATAATTCCAGTGAGCATATCAATTACATTATGTATTGACTTCATTTTATTTTGTATTTCAATCTGAAAATAGAGAACCATGTACAATTAATATTTATTTATCATATTTTTTAATTATTTTAACAATTAGGATAAGTAAATATTACTTTTCAAATTGAGTAAACATATTAATAAAGTATCATTTAGAATATATATTTTATATCTCACCTGAAGTTTTTGATTTTCTTTTATTATACGATTGTTTTCTCTGCCACCTTCTTTACCAATCTCATCACATTGTTGTCGTAAAATCTCCAGCTCACGTTGTAACGTTGCCGATTTCTTGACATATTCTTCACGTTGCTTAGCTAGCGTTGCTTTTTGTTGTTTCACTTCAGCTGCGATGGCTGTCGTGTGATTAATTTTAAAGTACAGATATATTATAAAATATATTTGTAATAGCAGTTTTCTTTAAATTAAACTAGTTGATTAATATATCATAAATACATGAAGGATTACTTAAAGTATTTGTTTGTAATATAATCCATTATAAAAAGAGAATAATGTTAAAATCAATTCTGTATTATTAACTTCTTGTTTTAAATATATTCCAAACTTTTTGCATTTATTAGTATATTATTATTTTATATCATACCTTCTTTTTTTACATCCTCAGGTCTTGCTAAAGATGTTACTAAACTAGAAGATCCACTATCCACAGCTCGTGATGATTCTTGCTGCGTTGTCAATGTAGGAGGTGGTGGTGGTTGTTGGTTGTTATATGGTACCTGATTTCCTTGCCAATTCGGTGGAGGATAATCCTAACAGAATTAATATGTTCATTCAATTTCAAATACATGAATGGTGCTTCTTTTAACCCTTACCTTTACTTGTCCACATTCAAATCAGAACTTTGGATAATACATGGAAGATTCTTGAAGATGAATCATCAGGTCAATTATAGTCGTTTCCGATGTTGTTACCAATAAAATAAATAACGCGAATGTTATACTTACTGATGGAGCTGCAGAGCTTGCAGTATAAAAGAAGAAAAATGGTGTATCATTTTTCGACACACTATCGTTTCCAAATCGCGTAATAATATAATGATTCGCGTATATAAAAAAGTATCATTAGTTATACATGAGCTTTAGAAAACCCATATACATCTTAAACATCTTGATATAGAACTTATTTATATCAGTGTTAAGATAATTAATATAATATTTTACTACAAAATCGAACATAAAATCACACAATCATCCAACATTGCAATCATAAGTTATACATCTATTTTCTAATGCAATTATGCGTACTAAATTAAAAAGGTATTATTCTTTTCCAATTAACTTACACTGCGATAACTAGTTGGTTGCTGATAGCTGTAATCATAGCCTTGCCCATAATTATAGTTGTAATTATTGTATCCTTGGTTATATGCAGGTAAAGGTGGTGGTGGTTGACTTGTATTCGGAGGTGGAGGTGCCTGTAATAATAATATATTCATGATTTTTTTTTAATAAATATATTTTTAAGCTATCTATTAATATTAAATATGTAACTATGTTGTGAGAAACTTAGATTTATGTTAACAAATAATAGTATGATAAATATATTTTACCTGATATTGATTATGAACGGCAGGAACATAACCACTAGTACCAGCAGAATTAGCACCTGCACTCTGGGATTGTGAAGATGTTGTTTGTTGTTTCCATTCTTGTTGTGAACGATTTGCTTCTTTTCTTCTTCGATCTCTGGAACTTGAACGTGATCTTCTATCTCTTGATCTAGATCGTCGATATCTGGATCGTCTGGGAGATGGTGATCTATCATATTTTCTTGATCGTCTTCTATGTGATGAATCATCTGAATCAGCACTGGGACTTCTAGGACCTTTACGTCTAGATTCTTGCTCCATCTTCAATTTTAGTTAATGCAGTCCTCCTTTTTAGAACATTTTACAAAAATAAGTCTTTACACCATAATTAAAAAACAAAAAACTTCTAATAAAATAACAAAAGAAATCTAATTATATGATATAAATCTATAATTAAAACAATTAGGGAAATACAATATGATCAATGCGTAAAAATATACTTTTATAAAAATAAGAAATTTCATTTAATCTTGAGATTATTAAAATTTTATTTTTTTTTACTACAGATTAGGTCACATTTAGCTAGCTTGCCATGAGGTATTCCATATTCTTGATTTATTAGATATAAACTGGTCAACGAAGTTTAATATAATAATTGTGCGTATAGCCAAATGAATTATTAAAGTGTTACAAATAATTTTCAAAAATATCTGGTTATATTAAGTATCTATTGTACATTTTTTGTAGGAGTTAAAATACTTTTTAGATACTGCAATGCAGCCATTATCATTCCAACGTTTTTAATACATACCGTATGTTATTATAATTGCATTATATTGCTACTTAAAATTAATTTACCTGTAATGTATAAAATCGCAACTTATCTTCGACTTTTCGTTATTTCGTAATCATTTACTATCACGAAATTAAAATGTCAAAAATGCTCAGTCAGACAATACATCGCAACTTTCCAAGCGAATAGACGAAGCCAAAACGTAATGGCGACGTATACAGTATTGCCAACTATTAATATTATATCATCGTTACAAAATTTCAGTCTTCAATCTATTTTTTTTGTAATATATTTCATTCAATTCAGATAATTATACATTTATAAACAATTAAATATACAAGTCAAAAGTACAACCAAATATTGTACTTTAATATATACACTTTTTTAAGCTGATTCGATAAAATTGGAGTTTGCAATTATTTGAGAAATTTAAAATTCACTAAAATCCATTAACATTGTGACTATTTTCACTTTATACCACTGTAATCAAAAAGAATATTTTATGATATTGATATTATTGGTCCTTATTTTGTTTGAATTTTTACTATTTTTATTTCAAAAAATGCGTTTTTATCGATTTTTGTAATTTAATTTAGTTTAATATTTTTATATTATTATAAGAGCATTTTTTAAATAAATATACATGTTAAAGAATGTTTTTTTATTTTTATAATATATAAAAACAACAAATAAATATTGTAATTTATTCCCTATAATTCGCAATATTTCATTTTTTGTATCATATTTGCGATACTTCTGCCCTCTAGTCAAATTTCTTTAAAAATAATTTAACTCATGTGTGTATGACGTTTTTCGTTCATTTCATGAAATTTACCTCTATTTGATCGTGGAACGTATTTTGGAAACACCCTATATATCGATGGAGTAACATGGCGTCTGGCGAAAATAGTAATTTTGAGAAAGTTTTGGAATTTAGGATTTATAAGTGCTCTAGTTTTTCAGCTTCCTACGTACCTGAGTAAATAATCTTTTATTTTTATCAATTTAAATAAGGTTATCTATTTTCAAAATAATTTGCTAAATGAAAAAAAAAATATGATAAACATGTAACCTAACAAACTTTCCGTTTCTTGTCGAAGTATATCTAAAATACAGATATGTCGATTAAAATAAGAAGGATACATCGTAATGAGTTAATTTTTATGTTTTTTTTAGGAATATTCTTGTAGATAAACCGTCGGATCAAACTTCACGTTGGTCTTCTGATATTGACAATCCTCGCCAGGTAAACATTCGTATATTTTGTTCAGAAAGTTTATCTACCTCTTAAAAACATTATTTATCTTTAAGATAATTATATAAAATATAAACAAATAGATATCATGTATAACTAATTATAATAAATTTCATTATTTAATACAAATGCGATAAATGATAATAATTGCTACCTAATTATTGTAATATTTTTAGTTTCTTACATTGAAATTACAATGTCCCTCTATTGTTAAAACTATTACTTTTGGCAAATATGAAAAAACTCATGTATGCAATATAAAAAAATTTAAAATATATGGTGGACTGGAACCTGAGAATATGATGGAACTTTTAGAAAGGTAAAATATTATTTTTTATAAAGTTAAGGAAGTTATAAAAATAATAAATTTTTTATATTTCATTTTTTTTTTTAGTGGATTGAATAATGATTCTGTACCAGAAACATTCGATTTGAAGCACGTTTTAGGAAATGAAGGAAATTATTTTCCTGTTAGATATATAAAAATTCTTCCTCTTCAATCTTGGGGGCCCAGTTTTAATTTTTCTATCTGGCACGTACGGTTAAATGGTATCAATGATTCTAAAATTGTAGGACCTTCTATCGAATGGGTAAATATGGTAAGTACTTGAATAAAATTTAATTATCTTTAATATGAACCAAAGAACAATTAAATTTTTTTATATTACAGTATCGTCAAAAAGAAGTAATAAGGTTATGTATGAAACACTTTCGAAGACTCGAACAACCAGAAGTTGTAGAGACTTTGCAAAGAGTCACAGGAGTTACTTTAGAAGATCCTCGTTTATCTATGTTATATGATTTGTTAGTTACAAAAGGTGATCATCTTCAGGCAGAAGGCTTTATAAGCAATGCAGTCATGAGTAAGCTGTTCTTAATTTTTTTCTTTACACACAAAACGCAAAGTACATCGCTTTTTTATTATAAATATACTTTTTTAAAATATATTATCTAAAAAACTATCTATTATATTAATCAAATTTTAGCTTTTATTTCTGAAAAAGTTCTATGAACTTATTGATATTTTCTGATTTATATTTCATTTCTTTTCTTTTCGTGTAAAACTTCAGATTATTGTCATTTTTTTATCTTTATGCAAACAAATTTCATAAATTATGCTATAGCTGGACTACTGAATGACTATATCAATGCTCAGACCTATAGAGCGGTTTGGACAAAATTATCTACAAACGATCCTAAACCTGGAATGAGAGGAGGACATCAAATGGTCCTGGATCCAACTGCCGAAATGCTGTATCTGTTTGGAGGATGGGATGGAAATCAGGATCTGTCAGACTTATGGGTTTATAACATATCTGCTAATAAATGGACCCTCATATGCAAAGATACTGAATCAGTAGTAAGTCCTCAAATTCAAGGTGATATATTTAATAAAGAAAATTTTTATTATTCCTTTTTATCTACACATCAAAATTATAAAATGTATTATATAGGGTGGACCTAGTGCTCGATCATGTCATAAAATGTGTCTTGATCCAGAAAGACGACAACTCTTTACACTCGGACGATATTTGGATACACAATATAGAACACCAGAAAATCTAAAAAGCGATTTTTATGTTTATGATATTGAATCAAATAAGTGGACACAAATATCAGAAGATACTGGTGCTGTTGGTGGACCTCAATTAATATTTGATCATCAAATGTCAATGGATATTGAAAAGCGAATAATTTATGTATTTGGTGGCAGAGTTCTTGTTTCATCTTCCAAGTAAGTTATTAAAAATCTTATAGATTTTTGATAATTGAATAATATTGAATTACTATTTAGTTCTGAAAATCATGCAATGCCAGCAAATTCGACAGAACCAATATTTTCTGGACTATATTCTTATCATGTGCCAACTGGTACGTGGAATCGACTGGCTTGTGATATTGCAAGACAGTGTCCTCCAAACGTACCAACTATTAGATCACGAGCTGGGCATTCTATGTTGTTCCATTCAGTAAGTGTTGCTTAAATTATAAATAATTATATAATTTGTGTAAAATATATTATAGGATTTACATTCACTTGGCGAATTTTTTTCAGGGTTCTCGAAAGTTGTATATATTCGCAGGTAAACGAGGTAAAGAATATTTAAGTGACTTTTTTACTTATGAAGTAGATACAAACCAAGTAGAACATATAAATTACAATGACTTTGGAGCAAAAGATTCTAATCGTGTTCCTGCAGCTGGTTTTACTCAAAGGGCAACAATTGATCGTGACCTTGATGAAATATATGTTTTGTCGGTTTGTACTTAGAAATATCTTTTTTCTTATATATTTTAATGGTATGTTAAAAATTAAAAAGATTCTATGTAGGGTTTAAGTAAAGACAAAGATGAGAGAGATGATAATGTACAGAATTCTTTTTGGGTTTATACCATTAAAAATAACAAATGGTGTTGTATTTATCGTAATGAAAATTTTGGAGAAAAATATTGGAGTAAAATGCAAGATTATGAACCATGTCCACGATTTGCACATCAGTTAGTTTATGATCATATAAAAAAGGTATATAAAATTTGAATTTTCGATTAGTACGAAGCATTATATATTTCTAACAAAATATTTATTTTTGTATTTGATAGGTTCATTATTTATTTGGTGGAAATCCAGGTCGATCTTGCCTCCCAAATTTACGACTTGATGATTTTTGGCAATTAAAATTATGTAGACCATCTCATGAGCAGATATTAAAAAAATGTAAATTAATTATTAGAAAACATAAATTTGAAGAACTTGCTTTGAATAATAGTATTGAAGCATTAGAGTATTTACAAACAAAAGTGTCAGAAATTATTGATCATGATGATACAGAGCAAACAAAAGAGGTATTATAAAATTGTATAAGTATATTTATTACTAATTTTATAAAGTCTCTTTTAGTATTGTATCATTATATATGTACATTTATTTAAATCTTACAGTTTCAATTGTTGACATCTATACTATTTCGAGAACAAACAAGGTCACTGGACGAAGCTGCAGGTTCTAATACAGCTTCTAGCACTGTTTTAGGTAACTTTCTAGGTATGAATACAGATCAATGTATAACAGTACGCAACGTTCACACTTTGAGAATTGAGTTATATGACAAACTCGCAGAATTTTTTCCTGAATCACTTACACAACCACGCGTTAATTTAATTGATCTTTTGCCATTATGATGCAATAGATATTAAACAAAAAATCAAGTATGTTGACACTGATTATATCCAGTATGAATTGTTAAATAATATAAAGCAAAATCAGTTTTGTTTTTTTTTTCTACAAGATTATTTGTTGTAATATTTACCATTATTTTACAAATGAAATCGCAATTTGTACTGCACTTTTTTACAAATTTAGATAGAGGTAGAAATGAGAACTAATTAGAAAAATGATTGCATTAATTTCTTCATATTAAACTTAAGCTTGATTTCAAATTTTTGAAGATTTTCTAAGGCAAATATGAAGAACAACATTAATATTATTATTGCTGTTGTAAATTATTATCTGTATACATGAGAATGTCTTGCTGTAAGTAATAAAATATTAATGTGTTTTTTACATATATACATATTTGTCTTAGAATTATGACAAAAATTTGAAAATAAATCAATATATATAAAAACAAAAATTCAGTAATAATACTTTTTTCTTTGTATAATTATAAATGTAAATTCTTCATAATTTTTCTAATAGCATTGTATAAAAATTTTTATTTTCAATGTTTCATAACATTCTTATTATCGATTATATAACTTTTTATTAGCATTGTTTATTTATTTGGTTTTCAAGATAAATTTACTAAAATACTGCTTCATAAATGCATATATATATATAAATATGTACATACATACATATATATATATATATCACGCGCGCGCACATACACGCACGATGATTCTATTATTTCACTATATAGAGAAGTTTCATGTATATTAATACTTGATAATACATTTTAACCCATACAGTTAAGAAAAGTATTGTATTACCATACTATCTTTTTCAAATGAAATATCTTTATCCATTGCTATTAGAATATTATAAAGAAAATATTAAAGACACTATAGTTACCTAATTTATATAGAATTTCATGTTTTTATTATTTTGTATATATTTTATCATGTAAAGAATGCTATGTACTAAACTGCTTTGCTGTTAATTATTTTGTACAATATATGCTCTCTGATATCTTATAATGTAATAAGTTACATCCTGTATATAATGGTATACTTTATTAATATTTGTTTGCAATAGGATATCAGAAATGATTTTAAAAAAGGAAAAAAAAAGAAAAGAAAAAACAAAACAATGCTGCAATACTGTAATTATTAATTATTCTAATGGATTGCTTCCAAAGCATACAAAGTATATATATGCATATACATATGATACATTCAATTTTTGTATATATTTCCATTTAAACGATAAGATGTTAAACATTTGCATCGTAATTCGAAATATTAAGTTATGAAAAAAATCTTAATCAAAAACATTAGAGCAGCTATAGAAATCATATACTGTCAATTTATGTTTACCTGTTTTTCATTAATTATACGATAAAGCTCATAAGGCGATTTAATACATATGTCAGTTAATTTATGATATAAGTAATTATGACTGTGAATATTTTTTCTCGCTTGCACGCACGCACGCACGTGTATGTACAAAAAACTTTCTAAGAAAAAGTGTGAAATTTGAAGACTCATTCTATTATATTTATTTGTTTAGAATGTAAAATAAAAACTATGCATTTTTCAAATTTACCCTAATATATTATCACATTTATTTTGCATTAAATATAACACAATGCTATCAAAAAATTATCTATTCAAAAAAAAAAATAAAAAAATTGAACCTACATAATCCCAATGTGATGAATTCGATCCGCAATGATCGAAGCGCTACCTAGTAGAAAATATCAAAAGTTTATTACATCGCGACAAAAATCAACCAAAACAAATTTTGATTATATTACTGTATATGAACATAAAGTGTATGAAGTATGAAAAAAAATAATAAAAAATGAATGAACATTTTATAAAATAAGTAATTTCAATTAAATTATTAAATAAACTCTATATTAGTTGTAAAAAATGCACTGTATAAAAAAAAAACGAAAGAAACATTAATTTTTAATAAGTATAAAATTTCACTTTTTCTATTACTTTTATTTACTGTCATATCAAACGATGTTGTTAAAATCTAGAACCAAATTGTCATAACTATAAAAATAAAAATGGTCATACCTTTCACTTATATATTATTTTGGACAGGTGATGTCTCGAAATTTTGAATGCGCACTTAATTGGTGTTTCACTGACACCACTTTTATTATCACTATTATTATTTATTATCTTGTTATTACATACGATATATTTTCGATGAAATCCAATAGTAGACTAACTTGTTATCACTTATCAAAGTTGCCTCGATCCTACATCTTTGTTTACATTATTGGCAAACGATGATTCTGAGTTTAAAATTCGCGCCTAACGAACATTTTTTTTAATTTTGCATTTACGATTTGTTAATGATTATATAATGTTTGAGTAAATTTAATATTGTTTAAACAAATACATAGAAGCAATAATTATAAATTATTTTTGTGGTTTTTAATTATTAGTAAATTATGTTGTGTATATATATTATTTAAATAAATATAAAATAATAAATAAATATAAAGAATAAACATAAAGAATTAATTAATTAAACACATAGGCCGAATTACGATGTCAGCCCGTTGGAATCCAATATAATGATAGATTGCGTTAGATTCATTTATCAAATATCAAAGTTATCTTGAACCTATGGTTTCGTTGCTATTTAAATAAATAGCCAGCGACAATACCGAATTAGAAATACAGACTAATGAAATATTAGATGGAAATTATTTTAGATTCAAATTTTTCATTTCATTGATTAGATATATATTTGTAAAAAATTATTATATATATTATTTTATGTTAATATTCTTATCCAAATATAAAAAAGAAAAAATGTATATATATACATAGATTGATATTTTATATTTTCTTTTATCGACATCTATAAATCAATAATTAGTTTTCTTTCTCGATCGGTAATATTAGATGTCACTGTAAGTTATTAAACTATTGATGTTCTATCTCACAATGTAATATTCAATGATTTAACCTTCGAATACAGTGACAGGCGTTTTTAAGATCTTGTATATTCTACAAAGTCGTGTGATTAAATAATAATTTTAAAATGGAATGTTTAATTGGAATTCAATTCAAAGATTTTGTGCTTGTAGCCGCTGATATGACAAATTCTCAATCTATTATGGTTATGAAAAGCGGTAAGATACATTTGATAAAGTTATAATAAATCGTTAAAATATTTTGATTTAACATGAATTTTTAATTTTAATATATTCAATTAAATTTTACATTATTTTAGATGAGGAAAAAATTCATAAAATGTCTGATAAGCTTGTAATGGCTGTCTCTGGAGAATCTGGAGATACAACTCAGTTTTCAGAGTACATTGGGAAAAATATACAACTTTATAAAATGAGAAATGGTTATGAACTATCACCGCAAGCAGCAACTGCCTTTACTAGAAGAAACTTAGCGGATTATCTCAGGAGTCAAACACCATATACTGTTAATTTATTAATGGCCGGATATGATGATGATCTTGGTCCTCAATTGTATTTTATAGATTATTTAGCTTCTTGCGTGAAAGTACCATATGCAGCACATGGATATGGAGGTTTCTTTTCTCTTTCTATATTGGATAGATATCATAATTATGGTAAGTAATTATGAATTATGAAAACGTGATTATAATATTATCATTGTTAATTTAATTAAATTTTATATGTAGAGTAAAATTTAATTCTTGTTTTATTATTTACTACTATTGTAGATATGTCAGAAGAAGAGGGATATGAACTAATGAAGAAATGTGTTAGAGAAATTCATAAAAGACTTATTGTGAATTTACCTAATTTCAAAATCCAAAAAATATCCAAAGATGGAATAAAAAACATGAAACCTATTACAGCACAAAATTTGGCTGTCGAAGATGTTGCTAAAGTGTAATAAATTACTTTTCCATATTTTCATAATACTGTCATTCTGATTATAAAAATAAGGATAGTTAAATATAATTCAATTATCTATTACAGAATAGTTGTTATTTTACTATATTTTTACTGCATTTTAAATGCAATAATCATAATCTGTCGAACTCGCACAATCAAAAATTGTGTGAAGATACATATATTATAAATAATAATGCATGAATTAGTTTAAATATAAAAGTTTTTCATATACATATTTTTATTAGTAATATTACAGAAACAAGTTATACATTATATTTTAATTTAAATTTTGTGAAATTAAGCTTTGTAATAAAAATTGGTCTAGACACTTATTTATTTAAAACAAAATTAACAGAAATTTCAAATTGTAGATTCTTTTTAAATATATTTAATATTCTAGAATGATATTTCATTTTCTATGCTTACAATTAACAAAGTTGTATAAGAATAAGTATGAAGGAGTAGTAACAAATAAATTCACAAAAATAGATTTTGTATAACCTACAAGTAGATTGTCTAATATCTTAAGTAGCGTGGCACTTATAATTTTAACAGAAGTAGAAAAGAGGGGGGAGGGTAATCAAAACCAATTAATTGCATTATATGATGTGGTGAACTTATATCAATTTTTGTTTACTATGTGCTATAAAATTGATTTTACAATGTAAAGATTATCACTAAGAAATTTTTTCAAAATTAATACAAGAAATACAAGTCCGAGGAATTTTCACAAAAAATTGTACTTCATAAATATTATTACACATAGGAATAGTTGCACAGAAAGTGCAAACTGCTATGCACCGAATGATAAATGAAATGACTTTTGTGCCATCACAGCATCTAACTTGCATATTGTATTTATTTAAAAATAAATTAACTTAATATGCAAGGTAGATTTTATATATATTATAGAAAACAGATGTTTTTTTTCTATTCATAATGAATTTATGAAATAACCAATAGTAACATAACAGGAATGCCATATCACTTATGGTAATCTGAAAATTTATTTATCTTTTTTTACTTCTACTTGAGTTTGCGTTGTTTGTTCTGACTGTTGTACTGTATTTGTTGTTTGAGCAGGATGATCTTCATATCTGAAATTTTGATATATATATATATCACTTTTAAATATTAATATATAATTTTTTATATGTTATAAAACGAACGAATAATGCTTACGAAAATAAAGCTTTGAGATCTCCTTTGACTAATGCTAGTAATAATGGCGTTCCTAAACAAGCAGGTGCCAGATATAACAGAGCAGGTTGTGCATGTTTAAACAAATGCATTATCGATATTGTTATAAGTAATCCCATAAAGTAAGCAAAAAATGTTGCATAAAAATATACATTTGTTTTTCTGCTCAAACTATTATCAAACCTCAATAAAAGAGCAATAAAAATTCCAGGTAAAACAATATCTCCTAAGCCTAACATTGCAAAGTTATTAGCACTAAGACCTTTCTCTAAAAGATCTTGTGGAAAAACGAGCTTCATTGGCACCTCAAATGATTTTGCTACTGTTATCATTACATCTGTACCAAATACCCAAAAAGCATCATAAAAAAGAAGACCGCTAAGTAAAATGCATCCAGTGACAACATTATTGAGATGTAATAATTCAACACCATTAATTGCAAATGCAATTCCAAATAAATTATTGGCAATCCAATGCTGAAAAAAATATACATTATTGAAAATATAATACGTAAATAATATTCATAGAAGTATGTTTTTGTAAATTACCTTTTTTAAAAGATACCAAGCACCAACAATAGAACAACATATTAAACAAACTATATCATGAAGATTAAATTTATAATTGATAATATGCTTAGTATGATCACCTTCTCCTTTTGTAAATTGAATATGATATGGAGTTTTTGGAATCACAGCAGGAACCAATGAAGAAATCAAAGGACTATAATTAAAAATTCTTTTTAAAAATTATTACAAACATATCTTAATATACAGAAATCTGGTATTTACCTTGTAAGATGGCATAAAGCTAAAATTCCAAGAAAGAAGAAATAACCAACTAAAATTAGGTTCACATATTCCTTAGTAAATATCTGTGTGAAAAGAAATATTTTTTTAATAAATATTTTATAAAAATTACAACAATATTTCATAAAATAATTATAAATTTTCTTTTACCTTATATAATATATATAAGCTAAATAATGTAAAGCTGGAAATTAAAGGAAACATTGCTGCTTCTTTCAGAGACATTGTATCAGGCTGTTCGCCTTTGGCTTTATAATGTTGCTATAAAAATAATTGACAAGTCTTATAATAAAAACATATATACGTCTAAAGTTGATTACTGTTTAATGCGCGCGCGCGTATGTTTGTGTGTGTGTGTGAGTGTGTGGTAAAATTGATACATAAATTTGATATATTATGTATTATTGATAATACTAAATATATATCTAAAAAATATATACATATAAATAAAAATCTCCATTAATTACAATATTATATGATTTTCAAACATTGTTAAACATTACAATGACTTTATAACATATGCCAATATGCCAAAATATATAGCTAACCTGCTGCTCCTTATGGTGCTTAACAGCTCGGAAGCTACCAAAAAAAATTGGTAATATCGCCATTATTACAAGGCTTCCATAAGCTATAGCTATTCCTTCGGGAGTCGAAGTGGAAGTTCCATTATTTCGTTCAGTAACATTTTCACTTGCTTGTGTAACAATTTCATTTATTGAACTTGCCATCTTGGGTATTTAGCTGATGGACACGACTACACTGTCGTGCACGTTTTACCCAAACGTTATCTAATTCTAACAGATGGCGGAAAATAACAAGTCTACCAACATACTATAAGTGTAACAATTATAAAAGCAATATTTTTGAAAATTTGATAAAAATATATGTGTTAAATGTTATATTTATATATTATTAATTCAATATTAAATCAAATTAATCAAATCTAATATTAGAAAAATATTTTAATTTTGATTATATGATACTATGATATATTTATTTTTTAACAATTGCGATTTTATATTTATCTTTTTTTCACTAGTTTCACTGTTTAAATATTTTTTATAAATAATCCATTAAGAACATAATATTTACTTCAATAATTTCAATATTTAAGTTCAAAAGTTCAAATAATTTTTATCTTATTAGTAATGAATGAAATACAAAAAATTTTGTTCTGTTTTTCTCTTTTTATTTTTCCCTTAATAACATTTGACATATAAGTTACTATAAATGCCCGCTAAAATATGTTTGAAAGTTTAGAGACCAAACTTGTACTTTCCAAAAGATTATTAAGCTGTCTATCGAATAATTTTGTTTATATTTATCTATAAATAAAAGATTTTCTAATTCAATACTGATTGTGTGATTTATATGATTTGACAAATATTTGAGTGTGTATGCGTGATGTATACTCAAATAGTAGAGAGTCTACAAGTTAATAGCATGTTGCGTAGTATTTGTAATGTTTGAACTAACTAATAAGTGTGGCGATGTGTCATATTACCATGCTTGTTTTTATTTATTTGTGTCTTTTATAGAAAACAAGACAATTGTAAAAATATGTAAATATTAATTAATCAAAATATATACAGTATGTTGAATAAATATATTTACCAAAGTTTTTAAATGCAGAGTATTATAGAATAAGGTTACATTACTAAATAATAAATATCTTTTTGCATAGGTATTTATAAATAATATAAATATTTTATAAATAATTATTAAATTTATAAATAATTTTGTGAAAATGGGCCCACCGCCAGTGGTCACAGGAATATCACCTAAGGAAGGGCCACCTGGAACTCGTGTAATAGTACGTGGAGAATTCTTGGGTACTAAAGCTTTAGATTTAATAGGTTTGTTTCATTTCACTTTGTGCGAAGTAATGTGATTATACAATGAGATTCTATTTTTTATTATTTTAATTATTTTATGTTATTTTATATATATATATAGGATTGACAATTTGTGGAAGTGATTGCCTTTTATCTGCTGAATGGAAATCATCAAATAAAATTATTGCTAGATCAGGTCCATGTAAAGGCCGTGGTGATATTATAGTAACAACTCGTACTGGTGGTCAAGGAACATCAACAGTACAATTCCGTGGTTATCATGAAACAATAGGACCTATGAAAGAATCAGCTGTATGGGTAGATGAAGCACCTTTACAGAGCTTTGTTTGGGGTAGAAGAGCATTATCACCAACAAATTATCAACAAGAAGATCCTTTAGGACTCAGTGTGGAAGGAAATGAGTATGGATCTTTGTCATTTTGCGGTGTCGATATTTTATGTTGTAAATAGAACTTTAAAAAATAATTTATTATATTTATTTATAGTAAAAAGTTTCCTGATGATGAATTAATAGAATTATTTGGAGATGCTACTGATGATCTCACTAATGAAAAATTTCATCCAGGTTGGTTTTTATTGCAACATCATCATGCAACAACATTAGAAGACTTAAAAGCAGGCTTAACTTTTCTTAAGAGAAAAGTAAATTCTCAAAAAGAAGGACAATTGTCCTTTTTGAAGGCATGTAGTTTCGCAATTTTTTATAAATGATATTTTTAACCTATTTGTAGTTACTATTACTATATTTATAATTATATAGGCAAATGTGGGATCAGTAATGGAACAACTTGATACAGTAATGCTTCTTAAAGAGCAGTTTGAATTAGATATGAAAAATTATGGAACTGATCCCATTGAACAACTTGAAAAAGCTATTAAACAATCAATGTCAGAAGCTAATAAATTATTTGATGAAGTGTTAGCAAGAAGAGATAGAGCAGATGCTACAAGAAATGTTTTAACTGTTATGCAGCGCTATAAGTTTCTGTTTTGCATGCCAATTAATATGGAAAGAAATATAGAACGTGGAAATTATGATTTGGTTATTAATGATTATGCAAGAGTAAAAAATTTATTTAGGAACACTGAAGTGGAAGTATTTAAAATAGTATTAGCAGAAATAGAAAACAGAATTACAACTCTTAAAACATTATTACGAAAGAAGCTTGAAGAAATGCCACTTAGTTTAGAAGAACATAAAAAAATAATTAGAAATCTTGTTAATCTTGAAACAGAAGGTGATGTGGGTTGGGATGCCATTGGTATGTATATATAAAGTAATTCTATTATTAACTCATTAACTATTAGACTAACTAAGAAAAATATATAATTTTATGTTTTAGTTTCTCATGCAAACTGTTTAGATAAAAGCATAAATGCTTGTGTACATGAGCATTTAGAAATAAAAAACACAATTTTGGAGGATTCTGGTAAAACTTCAAAACATGTACTGGTTACAGGAAAACAATTTCAAAGTAACAGAAATGATAGAAATAATACATCAATACAAGTATCATGCATTCAAGCTATTTATGATATATTAATTCAACAGTTGCCTAATCTATGGAGATTAGGACAAAGTTATTTCAGTGGACAGTTGCATGTAGCAGTAGATGTTGAGAAACAAATTCCCTTTAAGGTAAAAAAGAAACTAAAAATATATAATCTTTCTTTAAAATATTAAAAAAACCTAATTTCAAATTTAAGATGTGCTTCATGATATATTTGAATATATGTAATTAAACTCTGTGAATTATTTTTAATAGAATTTGGTTTTATCAAGCATGCAACATACCATGGAAGTTATTAAAAATATATGTCATAATGATGTAGAAGCATCATCACTTTTACATATTTTACACTGTATTAGACAAATGTATGCATCTTTAATTCATTTAGATTTACCTAGTGATGCCCTTGATATTTTTGGAAAATTTATATTTGATTTGAGGTAAAAATCTTTTTTTTCAATAATTACATTTACACATTTAAATTGTCATATTTTTAATTAGTAATCTAACTCTTATTGTGTATTTCAGATTACAATGTTTAGTTGCGTTGTTCAAAAGAACAGCAGAAAATATAGCAGCTTTACATAAAAAGGAAACATGGCAAATTGAATATTTAAATGAGAATGGTGGTATTACAAAGCTGGTATTTTTTCATATAACTCTATAGTTTTAACATGATAAATATTATTTATATAACAAATTTAACTAATTTTTTTTGTTTAAATAGCCATTCCTATTCGAAGAAATGGTATTAGAGGTAACAAAATGTGCACGAGATACAGTGGTTGCTTGTGGTCCAAGAGAAAATGCATTATTTGCTAATCCATCATATCAAATGATCTTTTATAATGCTGTTAAAACTTTATTTACTTCATTTGCAAGATGCTTGCAACAATTAGCCTTTAGTGGTTGCGAAGAAGCTTTGGATGATGATGAGCCATCAGTTTCTCAACTAGTTGGATCACCTTCTGGTTATAGGAATAAAAACAATAAACATCAAGGACCTGTAAGTATAATATTATATGCACAAATATAAATGTATAGTCATTTTATTTATATATTTTTTAATCTTTGCAATATTTCACATTTTTAAATAGACCTGGGAACAGTGCCTTTTAATATCATTAAGTAATATACGTTACACTTTGAATATTGTTTTGCCGAAAATAAAAGATATACTAAAAACTCAAGGTTATCCAGATTTATCTAATGCAATTGGTTGGAATTCTAATTGGACACAATTGGAAACTCTTGATAATGCTGTTTTGGAGGCCTATTTAGAACGACGGTGTGATCCACTTGTAGGAACAATCGAACCTAGTATGTATTTGGGTGGATTAGAATGGGATTTTAATACAGAACCAACTCATATTAGACCATATGCTCAGGAAATATTAGCAAATTTAATAGCAGTTCATGCAGAGGTAAATAAGAAAAAAATTGATTTAATTTTCATTAAGTATTATTCAACATAGAGTAAATGCGGAATTATATTTTTATAGGTTCATCGGGTTGCACCAGTTCTTTTAAAAAGAGTTCTCTCTCATATTGTTGAGACAATAGCAGAAGAACTCGCACGGCTTATGTCGTGCGTAACACAGTTTAGTTCTGCTGGTATTATACAAGCTAGAACTGATATTACACTTTTAAAAAATGCTCTATTACATTACAGTACTGATAGAGCAAGGTAAGAGACTTATAATTATATATAAAATATAAAAGTGTTGAATATATTTAAAACTTTAAAAATTATAATTTATATAAAAATAGAAGCTTTTTTGAAGAGGCTCTTGATGCTATACCACAAGCAATGAATAATGAAGATGCTGTACGTATTGATGCTTTGTTGTTAAAAGTTACAACATCCATGCGATTGCAATTATCCTGTCTTGTAAATGGTACAACTAATGGTACTGTAAGCACAATTGATACCAATCGTGTTACCACTGTATAACTGGTATTATAAGAATAATGATAAAAATATAATCATTAATTTATTAAATCCTATGGTTTATGGCTGTTCACTACCTTTCGTTCGAAGCATGTATGATTTCAGCGACGGTGTATAAGATTATATTAGTACATCCCTTTCCATACAATAGATATATAGTATATCTCACGTAAATAACGATAAATTTCGCGTAGATTAAAGTAATGTTAATAGACTGTAAAGTCATATATTTCAGTCTCTCATATGTAAATCTTTTTTTAATAGTAATGTCCGTTTCGCAGTAATCCATGCTAGATACGATACTAGGTACGATGTTATAAAAAGCACAATTAATATGAGTAAATAGGAAAGAAAAATATGAAATAGAAATGAGAGGCGGAGAAAGAAAAATGAGAGCTACAGAAAGAAAAAAGAAAGCGAAAAAAATAAAAGAAAAGAAAAATAGCTTTACACGATGCTGAGACAGCAGCCCGCACAGAGGCTCACATCCATGGGTCCATCCCATGGGTCTCACCTGAGATTTATAAATAATAATTAATAAGAGTAAACGAGAGTAAATGAGAACAACTGGGAATGACTGTGAACATAAATGCGATAAAAAAGTTTTCTGTGCGTTTCTCTCAAAAATTATTCTACTATATTTAATGATTTATTTATTTAAAGTTTGATTAGCAATGTAAAATGTAAATACATTAATATTTATTTGGAATTAGTTTGAAAAGATATTGGAAAAGTAATACAATATGCAGCCATTCGCTCGGTAATACTTGCATTTAAAAATTTACAATTAAACTTTGCAAGTACTAACGATCCAGGTCTCACCACGTGGAGGTTGCTGCATGTGGAGACCCACGGACTGACGGTAACTCTACTCTAAAATCCGCGTTTCGCGATACCGATCCGCTATACCTTTCCGCTTCAATGCACTGGCTTCTTAACTAACAGGGTATGCGTAGCTTTGCTACTACACACCTCTTACAGATAGCTCCACCATTTGCACCGTCCGCTTCAGACATAACGGATTATTAAGCACATTCGAATTGTGCTTTCCGAATTTCGAACAATCAAAGCGCACTCCTTAGACTACTAATCGCGTCGCGACACTCACGTGTGTGTTATAATTACGTAGATTCTACTGTTAAGCCGAAATTCGCGAAGTACCCCCATCGAAATTTTGAAGAAATCAAACGAAGTCCACGGTAGGACCTTTAATCGCGCCCGAACACCCACGCGAGTGTTAAAAAAACGATGATCTACTCTACAATTCACGTTTTCGATTCGAACAATCAAACGAAGTTTAATCGCGCCCGAGAACACCCACGCTTGTGCCCGCCGACACGCGCGCTAATGTTCTTCCTATCCTTCCCGTATTCACGCGTAAAAATCGATGATGAATCCCGCCATGCGACGAATCATCCGGCCACTGATGAACCTATCCCTCGATGACCTATACTGTAAAAGAAAAAGATAAAGAGGAAATAAAAGAACAAAAAAATATATAAAACAAAATAATATATATATAAAATACATATATAAAATACAAATAGAAAATATATATAAAAAGAGTCTTAGAAAAAGAAACGAAAAGAGAAGCAGCATGCACCATCCCATGAGACCTACCTAAAGGTTATAAATCATAATTAATAAAAATATATTAAAAACATAATTAAAAACATAAGCACATAATTAAACACATAATTAAATACATAATTAGAAAGAAACAACATAAATAAATATTAAGAAAACATAATTAAAAGGACAACACAATAATAACGTAATTGAAAACATAATTTAAAAAGAAAAATATGAGATAGAAACGAGAGCCGGAGAAAGAAAAGAGAGCCCCAGAAAGAGAAGAATAGAGAGACCCAAAAAGATAAGACAAGAGAAAAAGTTCTATATGATGCTGAGACAGCAACCCGCACAGAAGCCCTCCCCCACAGGCCCCTCCCATGGGTCCCACCCGAAATACACAAAGGATAATTAATGAGAATAAATAAGAATATATAGAAATGACAGCGGACGTAAAAGAGAGATAGAAAAATTTCCTTTTCGTTTGTCTAAGAAATTATTGTACAATATATTCTTGTTAAATTTCTTCTTTTGAAGTATTATTAGCGATATAAAGTAGAAAAATATTAATGTTCTATTGGAATTAAATTAAAAAGATATTGGAAAAGAATTGAAATATGCAGCCATTCGCTCAGTAATACTTGCGTTAATGAATTTATAATTAGTGTATGCAAGTAATACCGACCCAGGTCTCACTACGTGGAAGTTGCTGCATGTGGAGACCCACGAGCTAACGGTGACTCTACTTTACTCTAAAATCCGCGTTCCGCGATACCGATCCCTTATGCCTTCCGCTTCGGATATCTTGGGCATGGTTCAAAGCTAACAGGAAGTATCTAGCCTTAGCTACAGGGACTCCACTTACAGAAAGCTTTACCATTCAACACCCTCCGCCTCAGGCATAGCATCCGAATTTCGAACAATCAAAGCGTATTAATCGCGTTCGCGACACTCACGTGTGTTATAATTACGTAGATTCTACTGTTTTATCCAAATTCGCGAAGTAATCTAATCGATATGTCGAAGAAATCAAACAAAGTCCCCGGTAGGACTTTCAATCGCACATGCGAACTCTTACGTGAGTGTTAGAATAACGGTGACTCTAAGTTGAAATCCGAAGCGCACTCCAAATTTCAACACTAAAACGAAGTCCATAATAGGACTTTTAATCGCGCGCGGACACCCACGCAAGTGTTCGGAAAACGGTGACTCTACTCTACTCTAATCTAAATAAACTAATCGAATATTCGAGCAAACAAAACGAAGTCCCCGGTAGGACTTTTAATCGCGCACGCGAACACTCACGTGAGTATTAGAATAACGGTGACTCTAAGTTGAAATCCGAAGTGACATATGCTAACCGGTATTTAGACTTTCCATGATATTTGTCGGGATTTCCGCCCCGCTACCAAATATGAGGATTGTCATAACATCAGCAAGCTATGTACAGCACTACAAGGTAAACCGTTCGCGCACCCCGAATTTCAACACTAAACGAAGTCCATGATAGGACTTTTAATCGCGCCCGGACACCCACGCAAGTGTTCAGAAAACGGTGACTCTACTCTAAAAAAACGCGTTCGCGAGGTAATCTAATCGAATATTCGAGCAAATATAAACGAAGTCCCCGGTAGGACTTTTAAGTCGCGCCCGCGTTCATTCACGTGAGTATTAGAAAAACGGTGATTCTACTCTAAATTCGCGTTTTCGATACGAGCAATCAAACGAAGTTTAATCGCGCCCGCGAACACCCACGCCTGTGCACGCCGACACATGTGCGAGTGTTCTCCTATTCTGCCCGTATTCGCGTGTAAAAATCGATGATGAATCCAGCCATGCTACGATGACGCATCCGACCGTAGGTGAATCTATGCCTTGATGATCTATCCTGAAAGAAAAGAAGATAAGGAAAAAATAAGAAAAAGAAAAGAAAAGACATATTGAATATCGATACATGATTGCTCGATCATACCTGAAAAAGAAAAAAAGAAGATGAATAAAAGAAAGATGAGAAAATAGAAGTAGCTCTGCACGCTGCTGAAACAACAGTCCGCTTCATCTCATGGGTCCTACCTAATGCTATAAATTACAATTAATAAGAATATATTAATAACATAACTGAAAACATAAAAATATAATTGAAAAGAAATAACAAATAATTATTAAAGAAACATAATTAAAAAGAAATAACATAATAAAAATCTGAAAAGACATAATAAAAAGAAATAACATATTAATAACATAACTAAAAACATAATTAAAGAAGAAAAATATGAGTAATAAAAGAGAGCTGCTGAAAGATAAGAAAATAGAAATAGCTCTGCATGCTGCTGAAACAACAGTCCGCTTCATCTAATGGTTCCTACCTAAAACCTGTAAATCATAATTAATAAGAATATATTAAAAACATAATTAAAACCATAAAAACATAATTAAAAAGGAATAACATAATAAAAATCTGAAAAGACATAATTAAAAAGAAATAACATAATAAAAATCTGAAAAGACATAATGAAAAGAAATAACATATTTTTAACATGAATTTAATTTAATTAAACATATGAAAAATAAAAGATTAATTAAAAAAAAAAATGAAATATGTTGAACACTGATAAAAAGAAATATTATTTTCTCTGAAAGAAATATTATTATATCTATTAATTGATAGTATATGATAATACAGGTATATAATTTTTATAATGTTGCTAAAAATATCCTATTGTTTAAATATTAATTAATTATACTTTACGTATATCGTACATTATTTAAATGTTAAGATAATCTTCTTTATTAATTATTCCTTCCCATGTTGGCGACCCCCACGATCTAAAACTAGCTGAAAAGAAATAAGGAAAGAAAAAAGAATATGTATACATTATTAATTATACGAACGATAAAATTTTGAATTTAATTTAATTAAACATAAGAAAAATAAAAGATTAATTAAAAAAAAAATGAAATATGCTGAACATTGATCTAAGGAAATATTATTTTCACTGAAAGAAATATTATATTACTTGAACATTTAATAGATATATTATTTTGTTATAGAACTCGATTTTATTAAAATAAAATTATAAATTTAATTGAACTTTCGAAAAGAAAAAATTTATCAGTCGACTTTAACGTAAAATTTGATTTTATTAAACTAAAATCATAAATTCAATTGAATTTTAGAAAAGAAAAAATGTGTAAAATTTATGTCTTAAGTTTAATATTAAAAATGCATAAAATATGAAATAATCCTATTCGCGTAAGCGTGGCAATGTGAGAATGTTATTTACGGAATGTTACTTCGTCTCAGTTTTTTAAATCTACACCCCTACACCCATCACCATAAGGAGCATTTTGAGTGACAACGTGGTAAAATTAAAATACGACTAAGAGCCATTCTCGAAAATTTCTAGTGAATTTTCGAAAATAACTCAATAACGAGATAGTCCTCTTGAACCACAGTTTGTGAGGGTCTCTTTGACATATAGCATCTTGTTTACTTCGTGCCCTAATCAAATTGAATATTCTTCAGAAACTGTAACGACAAAATTCTATTCGAAATTATAAGATATAAAAGAAAATCTTTACACAATTATTGATAGCCTAAATAAAAATTAAAATTAGTATATTAATTGCTGAAAATCCTGAGCTAAAAATTAATTAATTTAATTATCTAGGCTTACGGACTGTGACTCAACAAGTTTCTTTGTTTTTTAGCAATTATTCTACTCGACTTTTCTCTTTCAAAAGCAACGACTCTATTGAGACTTCTCTTTTATCAATTCAAATTAATAAAATATTTAATTAATATTTATTTAAAAATATAAAACAAATCCTTGGATGCTCCTTCTTACAAGCGAATACATTTATTATTATAAGAAAATCATGCACAATTACGTTTGTAATTTAGAGACTATTCATCGCGAATATCTTCTTGTACATTCTTTATTTAAATTCATGAATAACGATTTTTTTTATATTTCCGGGCAAACAAAATATTTCAAAATAAATGAATACATCGAAAATATGAAATAATTATAAAAGCGTTTGTACAAGAAGAACTTATCCTGATCTAATAAATAAATAAAATATAAATAATAATTAAAAACCATTCAGGAGTAAATCGCCGAAGAAATTTACTCGTGGTCACTCAATGCTCTTCTACTAATTAATTACAACCAATCACTCGTGCCAATTCGGACCTTTCGTCCTCGATATGATTGAGTGATCGGAGGGACTTAAAAATTCACTCACCACTTAAGAAGTTCTGCGTTGGCTCCAAAGCACTCGTCCACGGTTTAAGTCGAAATTATTAATTACGTAGGTTTTCATCGAAGTTGATCAAAATCTTTCTCAATGATGCACTGACTTTATTACGCGATAAATATTTTTTAACGGACGGTCACTGTATTAATTTTGCGAAACTCTACTGTCTTTTATAAATACTGTTTGTGTGATTGTCAAAAAAGTAAAACGGTTTGTAAAAAAACACTGACTCTAACGATTGCATTGCACGTAATCCATACAAATAAAGTTGTTGTTTAAATCGCGAAACCCGAACGATCAAACACTGCTTCTACTTCGCGATATTCTTAATTCAGCAGAGATTAAAATGTTGAAGTATTAGTACATTATATTAAAATTATTTTGAGTTTCTCGCGCTTTTCTTTATTTATAATGTTTAAACGAATCCACTGTTGCTTAAATATTATTTATTATGTTCCGCGTATGTTAAAGTCTGTTTAATTAATTGAATATTAATAATAATATTAATTTATAGATTTTCGCGATTAGAAATAGAGAGTATCGATGTTCACTGGTCAGGGTGCAAAGGGAAACTAACTCGCGAACCGTCAAAGTTAATAGAAGGACTGTTTATGTTTATATTGCAGAAGGCCAACAATCCCGAGATAAAGTTTTAAAGTATAGGAATTTTAAATTAGAATTATTTGAACTATCTCGCGTGTTTTAGCATTTTTAATATTTAAACGAATCCACTGTTGCTTAAATATTATTTATTGTATACCGCGTATGTTAAAGTCTGTTTAATTAATTGAATATTAATGATAACATTAATTTATAGATTTTCGCGATTAGAAATAGAGAGTATCGATGTTCACTGGTCAGGGTGCAAAGGGAAACTAACTCGCGAACCGTCAAAGTTAATAGAAGGTCCGTTTATATTCATATTTTACAATGCCAAGAACCCTGAAATAAAATGGTATAGTACTGGAATTTTATATTTAAATTAATTTAAGTTTCTTGCACGTTACTTGCTTTGTTAGGTTTAGACGTATGTTCTGTTATTTAAATATTAGTATATTGTAGACCGTATACATTAATGATTGTTTATATAGTTGTAATATTATCTAAGGTATTAATTTTTATGTTTTAAAATTTAGAAAGATCGAGGGTTAATATACACTCTGCGGAGTACAAAAATAAATTTACTCGAGTTTAATAAAAGTTGGTGTTTTTTTATATTACACAATTCCAAGATAAGAATTTTGTATTTTTGTGTATTATCATCTGTCCAAAGGCTGACAAGTAAGTTACCGCAACTTATCCATATCAATGTCGTTAAATGTATTTCTTTACATTTGTAGTATTTTTGAATATATGAGCATCAGCTATTACCGTCTATAAGTAAACATATAATCATTACTTTTTGGATCTAAGATACTCCATTCAATGGTGTTTTTGAAATCATTGTGGGGATACGAGATTTTCTTCTCTGTTGCCGCAAATTTCAAGTGCCGACACAGTAAAAAACTTTTTCCATACAATAAATGTTGAAACAGCATTTACACCAACAATGAAAACAGCCCAAATTCTTGACCAATTTTGATAGACCAAATCTGACTTTAATGATGAATGTTTAATCTAGAACTCCACGTTCTCGAATTTTTGAAAAGCCTTTTATTTTTGAAAAAGCTTTTTTCTTGTTTATTCTCGAAAAAGTATTATTTTTTTTACATGTTTTTTTTTTCAATGAAAGTAAATGTGGTAAACAGCTTTAAGTTGTAATTATTATGACATATACAAGTTTTGTTATATTTTAATATATATATTAATAATATATAAATGTTTGATAGTTGATAAAATATTCATCTGTAAATTTATTAAATTTATTATTCTATGTAACGTATATGTTTGCTTAAGATCTATAAAAGGTTTTTATACATAAAAGAATGAAATTTCTAATATTGGAATATTTTTTTTAAATTAGTTCGTACAATTACCGGTAGATGATATTTAAAATGATATAAATGGCGCTGCAAGTTCTAATAATAAAGCTCGAGTGAGATCTATACAATATAACGGGGATAGGTTACATTTGAATGTAAATTTAATAACTGTGTTTTTATTAAAAATTATAATTAGTATAATTCTTTATAAAATTACTGTATTATTTGTTATAGATTTGAAAAAATATATTTAAGATGTACTATAGAAGACGTAAATTTCATTTTATTTTTGGAATTTCTGCAAGTATTACAGCATACTGTGTTAATCTTATACCCCATACAATATTTCTTGATAAATTGGAGAACACTGTTGCTTTTTATCGGTATGTAAAGATATTTACTTTAGGAGTATAAATTATAGATACTGTTATTCAAGTTTATTGATTTAATATAATATTATATTGATTTATAGTCGTGGCGTTAGACTACGTATGAATAATAAAGTAAAAGAACTATGCAAAGAAGTAATGGATGACTTAAAAATTCCCGAAAATACTCAATCTCTCATAAAACCATTTTACGTTTTTGGTTTTCATCCTTTTCATGCTGGAACATTAAATAAAACTTTTGGAGGAATTATTGGTATTCCTTCAAATTTTTTATTTCGTGATACTGCTGATGCAGCAGTTGAAAAATTAGTTATAAATAATAAAGAACTTGATCAGATGAATGTAAAAGCAAATGATTTATTTGATAGTTTAATACTTTCAGAAAATGCACAAAAATATGTAATAGCACGTGAAATTTTAAAAATTCTAAGTAATGAGGTATATTCATTTGCAGGTAGTTCATCTTGTATTGTTATAATCATGACATCAATTTATAGTAACATAGTGCATAAATTTAATTTATATGAGAAAAAAGCATCATACCGTCGTATATTATATTTATTTTTTACGTTAGTTGGGTACGCTTTCTGGGTTGCATTTAAAGATGTTGTACGTTGTCATATTGATGCCAATATCGATGAAAATATATCAAAATTAGGTTTAAATTATATAGACGGAGGAAGAGAATATTATGAGAAAGAACTGAAAAAGAATATTGCATTGAGATCGCTTATGGAAAAGGATGGAGAAAAGTCTTATTATGTTAATGGAAATGAAAAACGCTGGGGATTTATGTCACTCCCTCTTTCTGAGAGAAAAAGTTTTTTTGAATCAAAACACTTAAAACTATAAAATATTCAATATGACAGACAATTTCTTACTTTAAGACCTTATGTACATATTATGTAAATATTTTTCAATAAAATATTAAATGAATTTTTATGCTCTATTTAAGAAATGTTTAATTAATTAAAATTGTTAATTTTTTTATAATTATATTAAATAAAATAATACAATGTTTATATACAATTATTATCATTATTTCATTTCTTAACTTATAATTAAATTGTTATGTACTTTAGTTCTATATTATTATATAATAATTCTGTTACAGAAACAATTTTCTATGTTAACAAGATGAAAATTTTTTTATAAAAGCTACTACAAATTTACATTCAAATTTAACTTAATAAACGGAATAGATAAATTATTTCTTTGTGAAATATTTTCTTTATATATTATATACTTATAATTAGTAATATTATTACTATAAACATTAATGCTAAAGTATATATTGACTGCAGTTACGAAAAGAAATAATTTATACAAACAGAGCAATGTTTATATGTAAGTAACAAAAGATTATTTTTTAGATGCTTCATTAACATAGTTCTTGATCTCATGATATTGCCTACTTATCATATTATGTAGTCATCTTACATTATTGTATTCTATGTAAGGCCAAGTGATCCAAGCTGAAAAATGGTTATATATAATTATTATACTATTATATTATTATACATGAAAATTTGTAATCCATGTAATATATGATATTAATTTATTACCAGTGTTAATTTGTCTTCTTCTTTTTTAAGTATTTTTGCTGTTTGCTCTTGATCAAATTTGACAACTGCAGCAATTACTTTAGCAAGCACCATTGTTTCTTTTCCCATCATATATTCATATAAAATATTTCTAAGATACTCTATTTCTGTTGAGTCTTCCAAAGTTTCATGCCTTAATTTTACTAATTTCCTGAGTTCAACCAATTCACGACTTTGTGATGCCAATGTTTGTTGAAATGTATGAAATGAACCAGTATTTGACTGTATTGCAGCCATTGCTATACAAGAAGTATTTTCCAGTTCCTATAGAAATAATATGTAAAAAAAAAAATTAAACTCTACTTAAAGTACAATATATTAACATGTTAGCATTAAAAATAATGTTACCTCTGTTGCTGTGTCAATTTTTGTCTCAAGCTAAAATAGGAATGAAAGAAAAATTAGAAAACAAAAGCAAAACTCAAAAAATATATATAAAAAAAAATGATGTAAAAAAACATATAATCTGCAAATGAAAATATAGTAAAATAAATGACATAGATGCTTTAAATAACCTTTAGCAACAGATCGGCAAAAATATTAAATTGGATGAAACTATAACATATGTATATTTGTACCTTTCTTTCATTTCTCCATTCTCTTGTCAATTCTTTAATTTCTTCTTCATGTTTAGCCTCTAACCTATCACTTCTTTGTTGTAAAATTGTTTTCCACTTTTGTTCAATTTCTTTAAGCTCATTTACATGTTCTTTTCTAATAGACGCAATACTTTCTGTTAAAGCTTTTACTTCATTTTCTTTTTCTGTTGTCAACTTTTTATTCTCCAAAATAAGATTTTCAAGTTGTTCTGATTTTGTTGTTAGTTCAACTTGAAAATCTTTTAATTGCTCCTTGTATTGTTGTAAAAGATTGGATTCATAACTCTGTTGATAATCTATATAAATTGAACATTCATATATTATTATTATATAAATATATATATAATATTTAAATATATAAATATATATTATATAAATATATATTTATATATATTTATATAATATATAAATAACCATATATATTTATATTTGGTTATTTTCTTTAAAAATATAAAGATATTAGCTTACCAAATCGTTTTTCCAGTGCTGACTGCAATTCCTCTTCTTTATCTTGTAGTTGAGCTTGAAATTCTTTAACTAATTGTTTTAATCTGATATTTTGTTCTTCTTCATGCATTTTTAATTCTTCCTTCAATTGATTATTAATCATATACATTTGTGATTCTTTAGCATGAAATGTTATTATTGCTTCATCTAAATCAGCTTCTAGTTTTTTGTTTTCCTCTTGTAATCTATTACTTTTTTCTACCAGATTTTGTTCTACCATTTTATTATTATCATCTGCTGTTTGTAATTTGCTATCAAGTTTATCTTTCAAATCAGTTAATGATTCTATTTGCAATTGTAATTCATTGATTTCATCTTCTCTTTCTTTCATTGTAGTTTTTAGTGTATCTATTTCTACTATTTTTTGTTGAAGTTCTTTTGTACTTAGAAGTTTTAATTCTTCGTTTTCTTGTAACAAATCTTTTTCCTTTGCTTCCAATAATTTCAATTTTGACGTTTCTTGTTCCATAATCTTTTCTATATTTTTTATCTTTGCCATTAAATGTTTGTTTTCAGAATCCAGATTTAAAACTGTAGAAGCTGACAAATTTGCAAGATGTTCATCCAAAATAAGCTCTCCATTTTTTAGTTTTTCCAACTGAAGATTTGTTAGCGTTTCATTAATATGTTTGAACGGAGTTTTGTTAAAGTTTCTAGCCTTTAAATCTGTTAGTTGCTCTTCTAGTTTCATTACATTGTCAGAAAGTATATTTTTTTCCTCTTGCAATAACTGCATATCTTTTAAAGCTAAATCCAATGCAGTAGTTTTATCGCTTAATTGTTGGGTTTGTTCTTCAAATTCTTGTTTTGTTTTCTGCAATTCTTTATTACGTTCTTGTAATATTTTAGTTTGAGAATCGACTTTTGTATTTGTTTCTTGCAATTGATTTTTTATATATTTTAATTCTTCATTTTGTACATTCAATGTTTGCTTATAAGAGTCAATATCTTTTTGTAATCCTTCCATATCATATAAAAGATCTTCTTTATTCTTTTGATATTCTAGTATTTTTACATTCAATGTTTCTTTCATTTTATTAAGTTTTTCGTGAGATTGTATAAGTTCAGATTGTTTTATGTTTAAATTTGTATTTTCTTCGCTAATTTTATCACTAATTGACTTTACTTGTACCAATTTAGTATTTATTAATTCATTTTCAGTTTTTAGTGTCTCTAATTGATGATTTTCATTTTTTAATGTTTCTATTTCCTTTGATAATGTTTCTATCGTTTGTGACATATTTAAATTTTCATTTCTAAACTCATCAAGTGCTACAGTTAAATCTTGTATTCTTTTTTCGGAATATAGTAAGTTCTTATCTTGCTGTTCTTTAATCACTTCTAGTTTATTCAACTGGATATTTTTTATATCAATCATTTCTTGTAAGGTATTATTTGAGCTATTTAATTTCATAGTTTCTTCCATGTGATCTTTATTTGTATTTTGATAAATATTCTCTAATTCTGCATTTTTTTTAGAATATTCTTCAACTAATTTCACATGATCTTGAAATTTTATTTGTAAATCAACTATTTCTGATTCCTTTTTTAGTATTTTCTCACGAAGTTCATTGATTTCAATATCATTTTTAGTATTATTGTTGTGTAAATATAAAATCTTGGATTTTAAATGTTCTAATTCTTCTTGCAGCGAATTACATTCTGATTTTTTATCTTCTAATGTCTTTATTACGTTCGTTGCATCTTCATACTTCTTTTTCAATTCTATCATTCCTTTTTCTAAATGTCCTATTTCATTTTCTTTCTGCTTTTCCATTAAAACTTGCATTTGTTGCAGATCATGTATTTTGAAATTCAGATTATCAATTTCAGTTATAAATCTGTTAATTTCAATATTTGATTTATTATGGCTTTCAATTTCCAGTTTCATGTGTTCTATTTTCGTCTTGTATTCTTTTAGTTCACTCTCTAAAACAGTTTTTTGCTGCTTAACCTTTGCTAATTCTGTTTCTACTTCCATCAATTCATTGATTTGTTGTTCAGAAGTTTTCAATTTTGTATGTAGAATTTCTACTTCTTTTTTAACGTTTTCTTTCTCCATTAAAATGTTTTGTAAATAAGAGTTTAAACTACTTATCTTATTGTTATGATCTTGAAATATTTCTTTAACGTTATTTCTTAAATACGTACAATCTTCTCTAAGTTTTTCTGTATTCATTTTAAAACATAAGAGTTTATTTGTAAAGGATATCTTTTCTTTATTAAGTAAATCTATTTTAGAACTTTTTATATCTATTTGTTGAGTTAATTCACTAATTGTATCTTTATAATATTTTAATTTATTATGAAGTTCAAGTAATTCTGCTTCTTTGTTTCCTATTTTATTTTGTAATTTAGTTATTTCATTTTCATTAGATAATTGATCGTTAAGTTTTTTTATCTCTAGATCTTTTACCAATAATTTGTTATTAGCTTTTTCTAACATTGATGCATATTCTTGCATTTTCAAATTGAAAGTTTCACATACTTGATCTCTATCCGATAAAGCGTATCTCATATTTTCTAATTCTTTATCAAGACTTTGTACTGTCATTTGCAGTTTTTCAATGGTTGTTTCAGCTTCTTTTCTTCTTTCATCTGTAATAATTATTTGTGCATCATGTTCTTTCTTTAATTCTACATATTTAATTTTTAAGCTTGAAAGTTCATTTTGGAATTTTTCTATGTCACACTGATATTCTTTAGAAAGTATTTGGGTTTCTTGTAAAGTTACTTTTACTTTTTGTAATTCTGCTTCCTTTTCTGTTAGATCATGTTTCAGTTTGTCCAACATTTCATTTTCATTTAAAGCATCACTTTCTTTTAATATATTATGACTTTCTATACTTTCTGCATAACCTGTAACTTATTTCCAGACAAATTATTATATAACAAATATTATAACTTTTGTTATATTAAAAAACTTACCTTTTAATATATCTTGAATGTTATCCTTTTTATCTCCATCCAAATTTTGTATATTATATTGTATTTTTAACTGTTCTAATTCTGTTTTATATTTCTCAACAATTTCAGTTAGGTTTTCTTTATTTTCCATTGTATGTTTTAAATCAAATTGAAGCTGTTTTATTTGCTCCTCTTTTCCTTCAAGTTCTCTATGAATAGAAAGTTTATTTTCAGCTAGAGATATTACAGATTCTTCCTCGCGTCTTTTTAAAGTGTTCACTTGTTCTGTTAAATTCGAAATTTCGTCTCGTGCTATACTTAATTCTTTCTGCAAAATCTCTGCATTTTCTAAATTAGAAGATTTTAGAGCTTCATAATCACTTTTTAATGTGTTATTTTCCTCCAATATTTCCTTATATTTTTTGATTAAGTTTTTAGTTCGTTTTGAAGTATTCTTATATTTCACTACAACTGCTTCTAATTTAATTAATTTATTTTTAAGTTGCGTATTTTCAGCTGATAATGTAGAGCTATCGCCTGCATTGTCAGTTAATTCTTTGTTTGGTTCCATAACATCAGCAGTACTATTATGTCCTTCATCGCTATCTAGTAGCATTAAATTCTCTGTAGGTAGTACATTTCCTTGAAGAAGTTTAATCTGCAATAAGTACATCATTATAGAATGTATACAAAGTACTATCACATTTTGAAAGAATACATAATATATATACAATATACTCTTAATAATTTTTTATATTTTTTCATTTATAAATGTAAGCAAAATCCTTCAAAATATACTACCTTTGTATTTAATGTATCTATAATATGATTTTTTTCTTCAATATCATTTCTTAATACTTCTTCTAAATGTGCTTTTGCTTGCTGTTCTAATTGACATTGTTCTTTCAAATCTCCTACTCTTCTTAATACATTATCCTGTGTTTCTACCAAAACAGATTCTAATTTTGTTTTAACTCGTTCTAGGTCCCTATAATGTTTTACCAAATCTGTGTATCGTCCACGATATTTATGATATTTTGCTTGAATTTTTTTATATGCTAAATACAATTGATCTTTCGTAACTCTATCAAATTGTGTATTTATGTCATCATCTATTTCCGTGGCAGATTGATCTATATCAGACTACAAGTAAAATGATCATATTTATTTAAATATATTATTTATGCAATTTGTACTATTTCTAATAATAAACACCAATATACCTGTATATGATATAAATTTTTAGGGCTTTCATAAAGTGGAAATAAAGAAGTGACATCACTGGTTACACTGTTTATAGATGATCTTCTGGATACATCTACTGAATTTGATAGAGGTGATACAAGTTCAACATTTTGAAATGTATTCTTTATAGAATTATTCTTGACAACATCTATAAGCATAATACATGATACATTTTTACGATATCATATATTTACCAAAATAACAAATTGATCAAAATAAAAAACATGAACCATATATATATAGATATATAAAAATTTGCATATTACCATAAAGTTTTTATCTCATGCTATAAACTTATAATTCTTATAAAAAAGTAAAAAATGAGAATGTATACCATCCGTTTTTTTGGTTAAGTCACTTTCTACTGTCATTGGTAATTCTTGTATGGAACTATTAGACTGAGCTGGAGATATAACTGCCTAGAAAAAGAATTATTTTATATATTAAAAATAATTTATATTAGATTTAAACAAAAAATTAATTAAACTACAAAACCTGCGCCATTTGCTGCATACTCGCTTGCAATCTAGCAGGCGATTGCTTCATCTCTTCAGCAAGTTTATCTTTAAATTTTTTAAACATTTTTTATAAACTTGTATATTACAATTCTTATCAATATAACTTAATTTTCATAAATCCATTGATGTGTTTATATCGGATTACGTGGTTGATACTGTCATCACTTCATTGGTACAACCTAATCTGACCTGATCTGATCTGGTTAGTGACATTTATAGTTTTCATTGAAACGACATCTTCTTAAAGCGCTATTCACAACTGTGTTTTACAAATTGTGATATTTATCATATTTGAATATTATGATGTTAACAAATCTTATATAACAATCTTATATATATATATATATTTTTTTTATTTAAATATAATAAAAATACTTTGTTTTATGTATATATATCATTTCGTACAAATAAGTGGTTTATTTCTCGTTTTTTCATTATATTGACCAATTGTCATTAAAGTTTAGAGATAGAAAGAAGTGCATATTAACAGATACAGTGAATTAATCATGCGTGGTTGGTAATAGTGTCAAATTAAACAGAACTTTGTGTATGACTGTAGTAAACAAACGAAACTTAAATATTGGAACGTTATATTCGTAGGTTACAAGAAAAGAGTTTAAATTTTTAATAATCTATTGGCGTAATATATAATCGTATTTATATGTGTATGTATATATGTATATTCATTGATTCTTTTTGAAAAGCGAAAAATAACAAAGTTCATAACTAAAATATGAAAAATATTAATTTCATATGTATCAATCTTATTCAATAACTGTAAAACTTATACATGTTAGAAATGAAACTGTGATATAGTGGTTATGAAAAATTTATAACACATAAAATACATTTTTTGTTACATCAATAATATTAGTTGTGCCAAAGTGATATTATTTACAACATCAAAATGGATCAAATGCTACCAAGTCCTGGCTTCAGTATACCTAGCATTGGTACTCCTTTACATCAGCCAGAAGAGGATCAACAAATATTACCAAATGCATTGCAGCAGCAACAGCAACAACAACAGCAGCAGCAACCGCAGCAATATCAGTTACAACAATTACATTCTATGAGTCCAAATGTACAGAGCGGTATGCTTATGATTACGACACCACAGAAAACGATGCATACTTATGCACCAACTCCGTCTTTTGCTACACCTCAGAGTCTTATGCAGCCACAAACACCAGTAATTAAACAAATTAAAATTGAGAGCTATATAATAAATTAAAATTACATTATTAGAGAGAAAGAGAATACAAATGCCTTATAATTTTACAGCAAAATATGATGTCTCCCTTAGGACAACCAAATCCTATTGCACCATCATCTATAGGACCATCTACACCAGGACCTATGACACCTATGACTCCTGCATCAGCAGATCCTGGTATTTTACCACAATTACAGTATGTATTTTATTATAAGTTTTTAATATAACAACAAAGAATATAATATTTTTACAATACTTCAGGAATATTGTGTCCACTGTAAATCTAAGTTGTAAATTAGATTTAAAAAAAATTGCATTGCATGCTAGAAATGCAGAGTACAATCCAAAAAGATTTGCAGCAGTTATTATGCGTATACGAGAACCTAGGACAACAGCTCTTATATTTAGTAGTGGGAAAATGGTCTGTACAGGTGCAAAAAGTGAAGAAGATTCTCGCTTAGCAGCAAGAAAATATGCAAGAATTATTCAAAAATTAGGTTTTCCAGTTAGTATTCTGTTAATTATTATATAGTAAATATTTTGATTAAAATATTTTATTTAAATTAAGTGTCTAATTCTTTTATTGTGCATCTAGGCAAAGTTTTTGGATTTTAAGATACAAAATATGGTTGGCAGTTGTGATGTGAAATTTCCTATTAGGCTAGAAGGTTTAGTACTTACACATGGACAATTCTCTTCTTATGAACCTGAATTATTTCCCGGTTTAATATACAGAATGGTTAAACCACGAATAGTATTACTTATATTCGTATCTGGTAAAGTTGTGCTCACAGGTAAGCATAATTTCTCCTTAAAATACTTATAAAAATTTTTTTTTAATAAAAATTTATAATTATGTAGGTGCCAAGGTTCGACAAGAAATTTATGAAGCCTTTGATAACATTTATCCTATTCTAAAAAGTTTTACAAAGAAGTGACAACATTTATTCATATTAATTATTATCCAATAAATAACTTAAATAATTTTATTTTTTTATTAAAAATCATTTTTTGTTGCAATATTTCTAATGAATTTAAAGTAAAACATTTTTCACTAGAAAGTATTGATTATACATGACAATTTTGATTAAAATTAATTTTTAATCAAATTTACATTTGAATTAAAAATTACAATAGTTACAAAAATGTTCTTACAAGATTTTTCTTAGATTATATCCCATATATAGCCACTGTAAAAAGTTTTAATTTTAAATATTAATTCATGTAAAAAAATAATGATATGTTTAAAAATATAATTATATTAATAATTTTTGAAAGAATTCTTAAAGTAGTAATTAAAATAATTTAAGTAGTTAAGAGACACATGTTATAAATATTTATATGTTTCATAAATATTTTTATAATAATTCAAAGATTTTCTACCGTTTATTTTATTTTTAATTGTTTGACAATTGTATAATCTAATTAATTTAGAATTGTTTGACAATCTGTGAAAGCATCTAAGAACAATAAGCCTTAAAGAATATTATGTTTACATTTTATGTTTTTACTTTATTTTCGTATCCTACATGTATATCCTTCAAATTATTCGATAATGATGATGCTATGATAATACCTCTATATATAAATAATAACTTTTAAAGCAGTAAATTTTTTTATGACGTGCCTTGTTTAAGAAGAAACCTTAGGTTAATATGATATGTTACAATAATAAAAATATATTGTATAAATCTATAATGCAAATATCTTTGACGATTAGATTAAATTATATTACCTTATAAATAGACTAGATTAATATGTAATGTAATTGAAAGTCAAAGGACAAAAAAATTGTTACATACATAAACTAAAATATCTATTGTGTACAAATGTTTATATTTAATTATAATAAAAGAAATTTACATTTCTGAAATATACTGATCTCTTATTAAGATTAGATTATTCTTCATTTTTTTTATCATTATCTATAAGTTGTTCTGCATTTGTATCTAAAGTTATTTTTCTGTAAATAGGATATTAATATGAAAATAATATTGATTTATTATAATATTTAATATCTAATTATTAATATCAACACCAACCTTTGTATAATGTCATATAAACTTTCTTTAATTGCTTCACGCACGACATCTATCGTTTCTCTTTCATTAATTGGAAGAACGTTTTCAATATATTTGATAACTTCCTCGATACATGTTTGAATTTCTTCAGTATTACTAATACTTGTGAAGCTTGACACAATATTTTCAAACATTTCTTGTTTCAATAGCTCTGCTTGTTCTGTTCCCAAGAAGGATTCTATGACTCGTGATATCAGATAGTGGATCTATTATTTATATTTTATTATATATATAATAGTTTCAAATTTAATGAATAATATTTAAAAAATAATACAAACCAAAGTTGCCAAATTACTTTTTCTAACATTTGATGATGACATAGTTATTTCGCAATTATTCGAGTTTACTACAAAAATACGTTTTTATATACAATATTAAATTCTATTCTATATCTTATAAATTTAAAAATAGGTAAATTCTGTGTATTAATATTTTACACAAAATTATTTTTACCTGTATCAGTTGCGAATTTATTTATTTCACTTTCATTCAAATTTTTCTTATAATCGGATTTATGATAAATAGGAGGTAATGCTCCTGACTTCATACTAAGATTTTTTATATCAGTAAGAAATAGCTCTTTCTGCTCTTTTTGACTAGCAAGAATGGTCTCTAACTTTATTATATCTCCCTTGTACTGTAATTCTATTTTTAACATTTCTTCCTAAAATTATACAAAATATTTAAATATATTATAGTTTCTTATACAATATAAAAATATTTTAATTACGCTTACTTCAGATATGGGGACTTGTTTCAAAACTTTTCTAAGAGCTAATTGTTCTTCCTCTAGGATAATTAAAAAACTTAATTTTTCTGTATTATCTCGAATAAGTTTTTTTAATACCATTATTTGTTCATTATATTTTTCTTTAATACCTACAAGACATAGTTATTATATAGTGATTTATTTAAATTAATTATAAAATCTTCATCTCTAAATAATTTATTTACATTTAAGTTGTTCTTCATATGATTTCATAATTTCAGATAAATCACTTTTAATATTATAGATCATTCTTTGTAATACTGTTTCATACATATTTGTTAATGATATCGGTTGACCAAACTTCTTTTTCATCTCTTCTTTTATTTTATTTTTCAAATTTTTGATTTCACTCTTCATATGCTTACAATCAATTTTCATTCTATATAGATGGGCTTTATTAGTCCTGCAATTTATATTATCATATATAATTATTACTATTTATGTAAAATCAATAATTGAAATTATAATAGCTTCTATTCATTAGTAAAATAAAATGTTTTACTGTATTTATTAATTTGATTTAAATGAAATTATAATATTAACTTCTGTATTATAATATATATAATATAAAGTATATGATATTTTTTTTATGTACTTTTGTTTAGCATATAAGTTGAATGTTTCTTGTTGTAATTCTCCTACTCTATCATGTAAATGAGATAATTTTGTTTTATCAAATACAATAGATTCTCGTATACTTGATACGGTATAAGAATTAATAAAATGTTGTAATTGATGAAATTTAAGAATTATTGTCACATCTATATCATTCAATTTTCTTTGTTTCTCCAACTGTAATAAAATAACTATAGATGCATAAATGATCATTTTTATAATATATTTTTATTTTTCATATTATTGTTACCATAAATTCTTTTAATTCGTCAACATTTGCTTTAAGTAAATCTTTAAAGATTTTTAATTTTTTGGTATCCATTTCTACTTCTTTCTGTAACTTTTCTATTGTCTTATTTTCCTCTTTAATCTCATATTCATGTTCATAACGTTTTTCTCTCATAACAAATGCCATTTCATATAATGCTTTGTCACATCCTACAGGACATACATTCTCATCAAAATAAATATATCCCATATCTTTACTGTCAATGCTTCCTTCGTCATCTTCTTCGGAACTTGTTTCAGTCGTTGTAGTACTTGATGACTCAGCATCTGAAAAATGAAAATAATATAATTTGAAAATTAACAACATTTTTATTATATCCTATTTGTGTTTTTTAAGTAATTTATTTACCATCATGCTCTTTTGGCAATTTGTATTTTTTTTTAAATATTTTACGCAAAAAGTTTTGGAACTTATTATTTTGGATACTTGTCAAATATTCGTAAGCAATATCTTGTATTGATTCCTGCAATTTAGTAATATTTTTCTTTTTACGTTCTATTTTATTACTAGTTGCATGTATCTGTTAAAAAATTATAAGAAATGTTAAAGTGATGTTTTATACAAAAATCATTATAAAAGTAGAAAAAGAATTTTAAGTGATATGAATTTTTTACAAATATTATTGATACATATATTTTAATTACATATTTGATTACATATTTGATACAAATATTTTTGTTTATCTTAACCTTTTGTATTATAGCAGCTTCTTCTTCTAATTTTTCATCAACATTTTTTCTCAATAAAGTTTCTTTTTCTTCATATTCTCTCAATATGATATATTCTTGATGAAGTGTTAACAAATGCAAATTCATATATATACTTTCTGCAATAATGTCAAGTCTTTCTTCCTCTAATTCATCCAATTGTTTATCAAATTCTTTGTAAGTATTTTCAATATATCGTAAAATACAATCTTGTTCATAAATTTTACGCATCATACGAGAATGTTTCATTTCACGTTCCCATCCTGTTTCAGTATGATCAGCAAAACTCAATCCTTGTAATAATTTTGGATGAACAATTGACTTGATTCTAATTTTTTTCTCAGATATATCTAGAATACTTGATTCTGGAAAACTAAGTCCCTCACTTGCATCCGTAATTTGTTTTTCTAATAATAAAACTTCATATTCCTCATCTATTAAGTCATTCGTTGAATCAGGAATTTCATATATAGATATTGATTCTTTGTAATGTTTTGCTTGTTCCGTGATTGATACATATTGTTCAAACTATGTAAAATTTTATATTAATATTCTCATTTAATTTAATTTCTAGGTATAATATTTCATAATTTTCTACATACTTGCAAATTTTCTTCAGGAAATTCAATATCATTATCAGTTATAGGTACATTAGGTAAAGATTTTATATTACTTTTTGGTATTTCTGCATGAATTTTCTTTAATGTTTTAATTAATTGCAAAACTTTTGAGTACAAAGCTTGTTTATCTGCTCTAACTTTCTTTAATCTTGTATTGAAATTATCACGTAGATAATGAAGCTACATCATTAATATATTATCATATTTGTTATTAAATAATTTATCAATAAGAAGAAATGTTTTTATTATCATAAAAACACAATAAAATATTTATGATTAACTTACCCTCTTTTTGCAATCTAAATATTGCTTATATTTAATCATTGTTAAGTTTTCTATATGATCTTGTACTTCTAATTTTGGTGAATCTTTTAAATTATATACACCAATCGTTTGTTTTGCCAACTTAATAGCTGCTATATCATCTGGATGATTAATATTAGGATCCAATTCTTTTTTTGGCATCAAGTTCCACTATAAAAAATATATGATATGTAAAATAATATTTTTTATTACCTTGTAATAATATATATATTTTCACACAAATATCATAATTTTTTACAAACTTCTCTTTGACGTTCTTCCAATTTTGCTCTCCATGTTTTATATTTTTCTAACATATGAATTATTTGTGTGGTTAGCTTATGCTCTATGCCAGAAAGATTAAGACTTTTCAGAAAGCTTTCTGCATCTTTCATCTTTTGTTTTTCTTCTCCTTCAATTTCTTCTGTTGTCAATTCCTTTTTCTTTTTTCTATAAGTTAAAAATATAGTGTATTTTTTATATAAAAAAAGAATTAGTTAATGCATCTGTTTACATAATCAAAAGATGATGCATATACACGCACAGTACGTTTCTTTATATAAATACTATTTATTAAAATATACATTTTAATAAATAATGAAATAAATAGTAAAATTACATCATTGATTTTTTACTTCTTTCAATGCAATTTATGACTTCTGCATAAATACTTTCAAAATTACTATCCAGTTTATGTTCTCGTATCGAATGTACCATTGTATCTGGTTTTCTAAATTTATAATAAAACAATTAGTAATATATATTCTTTTTATAAGATATGATAAGAGTAATGATTCTTAAAGATGTAAATATATATTCTTACAGTATTCTAGAAACAGCAAAAGGTATACAAGTAATAGGTTCAATAAAGTGATCCATTAGCTTTTTTAAGGCAAGTGTACTCTTTTCAGCTTGAAATGCTTTTTTTCTGTGTACTAAATCCATTTTCATTTCCAATTGCTTATTCAAATCTTCAGTGATTCGTGGATCTAATTCAAAATTTTCATGTGGAATTTGCTGTGACTTTAATAGACTTCGATTCCTATATTCCATTGGAATAAAAGAGATTATTTTTTTCATTTTTATTTAAATTGTAAACAATGATATTACATACCTATCTACTATTTTCGAATATTTTGCAGTTAATTCATGTAATATCTGAAGAGTTTTTTCTTTTTTCTCTTTCGCTAAAGCTAAAACTTTGTCATGCTCAGTTTTTACAATAAAATTTTCCAGAGTAGGATATTCGGGTTCTTCTATATCTTCCACACCATGTATATCATCCAACTGTTTTTGAAAGTTTATAAGTAAACAATTCATTTATATACTATATTGGAATAAATTTACATCAAAACTTTACCGATCGTACAGGTACGCTTGGTTGCGGTATATCTATTATTTCATCTGCTGTATCATCATTGATTCTATAAGAAAAAAGATTTCCATCGTGTCCGCACGTAAGAAGCATTGTATGATCATAACTAAGTAACATTTTTGGTATGTATCCGTTGTAATTGTCATGCATAGGTAAAATCCAATAATCTGAAAGATCTGTATGATCTTTTGGATTAATTTTACAAACTCTGATTTCACCACATTCCATGCCCAAAAACAAATATTTTCCCTGTTTACTACAGTGAAGGGAAGATCATGCTGATGTATTTACTTTCATGTTTATGCTAATTTTTATTATAACAAATTTCTATTATTTATGTAACCTACTATGAAAGACAACTTCTTATTTCTGTATCATCTCCATCACAGATTATAGTAGATTTAATTGGTTCCGGTCCTATAACATTGTTTTTTTCTGGTAATGGATATTCATACATATACCCTGCATCAAAACCAGCCATTGATAACCATACTGTTTCTTGATTGGTATATTGAATCATTAAAACTTTGTTTGGTATTTCTGGAATGTAAATTTCTGGAAGAGGTGGATCTTCTTCAGAGTCCACTATAAAAATGAAACAAGTTAATAATATGCCTTTTTTAAGAATATCAAATTAATGCGTAAAATTAGTTACTTAAAAAAGTTTCTTCATCAATTTCAATGCCAGGATTTGCTTCTTTTATTTTTTCCATTTCTTCGATTTTCTTTGCTATTTTTATCATCTTTTTATTTTCAATCGCTTTCTTGAGTATATCTATTCTTAAAGCTGATTTTACAGAATGAAACTTAAATAGAGCAGGCTTACAAAGTGTAAGTTCATAACTGATTTTAACATATGATTGCGGTGATTGTGGTAATTGAACTTCTCCCCAATCCCCTCTCATACATCCAAACAATAATGTTGATTCCTAAAAAAATTATACTTATATAAAATTATATATATAACAAAAAAAATACTAAATGTGATTAAAGAAAAATATTAATATTAACATGTTCAGGTTTCCACATCATACAAGTTATCCCTGAAGGCATTTTAATATAACCAATTGGCTGAAGAGTAGGATAGGTAGAAGTAGTACAAATATTAAATACAAATATAGTAGAATCATCACTACCTGTTACTAATAAACTGAAAAAATAGACATCTCCATTATTTCTCTTCATTATAATTAATTAATGAAAATTATAAATGTATTGTGTAATATTTTATTGTACCTGTATGATGGATTCACTGACATTACATTAATAGATTGTGAATGTGGTTTCAAAACTTGAACTAATTTAGTGAAGTTTTCTTTTATATTATTATGTTCATTAGCAGCTAATACTGCTACAATAACCATACGAATAACACCACTATCAAAAGCACATATAAGTGCAGATCCAGTTGCATCGATCTAAAAAGTAAAAATCAATAAGAAAGAACTCATTTTTACTTAAAAGTAGATAATAAAATTATGAATTATTTATTTATTTTATATATAAAACACATAATAAAAACAATAAATAAAAGATAACTTACTTTACACGGAAGCCATATAACTTGTTTACCAGAATCACGAAAATGATAAATAAGAATTAATTTCTTTTCTGCATAATTATAAATATGTAAATGACCATCTATACCGATAGTTGCAACAAATGGTCCCCATTGTGCAACATCCATATCACTTATAGCTCCTGCATGACAAGTAAATATCTTTTTTGATACTTCTGGTTCTTTAAAAGTATTTAAGTCTATTAACCATAAACCACCATTGCCATCCTGTATATTTTTTATATAAAAATAAAATTTTTCCTTTATATATAAAACAATTTCTACGTGATAATATAAAATTCGAGAGAGAGAGAGAGAGAGAGAGAGAGAGAGAGAGAGAGAGAGAGAGAGAGAGAGAGAGAGAGAGAGAGAGAGAGAGAGAGAGAGAGAGAGAATAAATAGTTTACCTGGGCATACCAAAAAGTATTGTCAGGATCATTGGGCTCTTGTTTTTGTATGCCCATTAGCATTGCATTTTTTTTTAAATTTTTGCTGTCATTCTCAGTGATGCAGAACTCGTAAATTGGTTGTATTTCAAGGAATGGATTTTCTGGTTCTGGATTTGCCAAATCTATAGTTTCATAAAACCAAACGCGTATAAAACCATCCATTCCTATAAATATAAACAACAAATTTAATTGAATTATACTAAAATAATGTAATTGATTATTATATAATGGAATTTTTATCTACCAACAGTGAAGAGCTCTGCATTGATATATTCAAATTGTACAATAGGCTTTGTATGACAAAATTCTTTATTTTTTCTAGAAATTTCAAATTTAATTAAGTCTTCATCCCATAATAAAATATTACCCCATTCACAACCTGATATTACCTATAACTTAAAAAATAAAGTGACAATACTGAAACAATATAAACACAACAATGTAAATATTATAATTATACCTTTTTATCAGGCATTTGATAAGCTCCAATAATGTCTGAAATTTCAGTTCTTCCAAACCTACCAGATCCACCTTTAAGTTTAAGACCAGTAAAAGTTTGAGCCATTCTCCAAAATTTAATATGTCCTGAACCACATGAAATTAAACTGCCAGGTACAAATGTAGAAAACATTACATTAAAAACACTCTGAGAGTGGGATTTACATTGTAATAAAATCTTGGACTCTTCCCATTTCCAAATTGTAATAAAATAATCTGGATCTCCTCCTTGAGAAACTAATAATAATCCATCTGAACTAAAGTGTAATGAAAATTTAAAATCTGTTAAATATTTGAATCTTTTAATTGAATTATTAAATATAAAAATACACATGATGAATATATATATTTTTTTTTATCACTGTTACCTATAATGTAGATGAGAATATTGTCTTTTCGTACCACCAAAAAGGCATGTTATAATTTCCATACTTGGCCAATTATAAATAATTATTGGAGGATCAATTCCATTTTCACCGATAGCAATATGATTAAATATTGGATTTTTCTGCATAATAAAAAGTAAATTAAATTTTCTAGTTCTCACACAAGATTTGAATTAAAAGCGATACATACAATTATATGTCCAATTCCACCTCCTGTGGCACTACGCCTAAACCATATTCTTTTTGTAATTACATCTAAAAAGTGGATTATATTACCAGAAGCAAAAATAATTGTATTTGGATCGGCAACACAAAAATTAAAATACTTCTGACAATCATATGAAAAAGAATAACTATTGATCAGAGTTAAGGAATTAGGAAAATAAATACAGGATAAATCAAAGATATAGTTTGAAGTTTCATGAAAGGATACTCAAATTCTAAAATATTTATAGGTACTGTTCCATTTTTTACACGAAATGGCTTTGAAATATGTGTTTCCACATCGTAATATTTTTGCACATTTTCTTTAGATATTGTTTCATCATTATTTTCTTGATCTTTTGGAAAGTTTTCTAACGCATCGATCTCATCATCCGTATCGATCATCATGATTTTTAATAAATCTTTCTTTCATAAATCTTTTATTTAAACGAATCTGTGATAAAGAACACTTTCGTGATTCTAAATAATTATGGGTAACCATGTTAACGCTTGCTATTCCTAACACATTGAAGTTTGAATATATTATATATAAACTGAGAAATTAATGTTTTATGATTTTTTTTCTTTTTTTTTTTTTCATATGGATAAAGAGAAGATAGAAATTCAGAATTTAATTTATTTCATTAAATATCAGAGTCTATATTTTGAAAATGTTATCATTAATTTTAAATATTGAAAGTTTGCGGTCAAGTTTCGAACCAATCGTGCCCACCCACGCGATGTTTTACCTAACCTAATCGAATGAGAAAAGGTAATCCTTTCTAACTAAATGTAAAAATATTTTCTTAATTCCCGTTAAAATCTAATTTAAAGTGTGTACACACTTTAAATAACTTTACATTATTTTCTATTGTATTACAATCTGTAATCACTGTGCTATAAGTAAATTATAACTTTATGAAATAAAGACGATAAGAATTGAATTTATATATATATATATATTGAGATTGAATTTTTATTTGAGAGAATTGGAATTATTTGAATCACATCCTATGCTCTAATGATAATTTTGAATTAAGAAGAAGAAAGATTACTAAAAAATAATTGTTTCCGATTTTTCTAACTAATTTAAAAAATTTTCTAATTTCAAGAATATTACGAGCTTCTTAATCTTTTAATCTTTGTACCTTTTAATTTTCTAATCTTCGAACTTCTTAATTTTCTTTAAAAAGTTAACACATTTATTATAATTAATCATATCTTGAAATAAAGTTAAATGAAAATTTAATTTAAACAATCTTTGATTGTGAAAATATGTAAAAGTTGATTAAAGGAATGTCATAATATAAAAATTCCGTTCGAATATCATATCGATTGAGATATACATATATGTATATGTAACAGACTCAATAGCGTTCAATATCTTTTGAAGGAAAGCACGAAAAATCGATAATATTACAAGATCTATTAATCTAATCGAAAAGTGGAAAAGAACCGTTTCACATTTTATCTAATCGAAAGATTTTATGTTCTCCTATATAAAAATTTAAACCAGCATATATTCAACATAGTTGATTTTAAATCGATAATTGCGAGATCTTTTTTTCTTATGTATATTTTATTATCCTTTTCGTAACTCACGTATATCATGAATTAAAAACATGAATAAATTTATGTTTCTGTAAACATCATTTTCAAATGATCCATAACTTGATATATTCCGTAATTTATATTGGAAATTAGATTCGAATCTTTTGATATGATCGAGTGATTGGAAGAAATTAAACATTCATTCTAATTATTTATATAAGATATGTATAGCATTATGGTCAACTTTATTAATTATTAATAATATAATATGTTTAAAAATTGATTGAGACAGTTACGATATTTATATAGGTAGTCACGTATATATTTATATGGGTGGTCACGTGTCTAAATTATTGAAAACACGATTTGTTGAAATTTCGCGCGAAAAATCATAACGTGATGCATAGAATTCACCAATGAAAAAGCAACAGAGATCTTTATAAGATATTAACGAGTGTTGATTGGTTATATTATACCTTGTTCTGTTAAATATATTCTTTCTTCTTTTGTTATTATAAATCACCATCCTCATATTTAATGTAGGATGTATATCATGTATAATATAATATTTAAGCATATATCACCGTCGATTTCAAGGGACGCCACTATACGAACGAGTTCTTATTTTTAAAGATGAAGGTTTATACCTGGTAAAAATGGGTTCATCGCACTTTTCGTACAAATTATTTTTAAAAAGATAATATTTTTGACAATTTTTTTTCGAAGAAAATAAAACTTTTAAAAATTTGAAAATGCCATCGTTTAAACTTTCATCTTTAAAATGAGATCTTGTTTGTTAAAATCGGTCAAGAATTATGTTTAGATTTATTACTGATGTAAACTATTATAAAATCAAGAGCAATAAACAGATATAACGGTCATAAATCACGATCAGTTGATTGGTCAATTTAAAACGATAAGGTTACGCAGAAAATATTCAATGTGAAGTAAATTGTTAAAAATCTATCTGATAAGAACAATTTGACCAACCACAATGTTATTAAATTGCTGCTCTTGACAACATATTATTTAATGTTATTAATTCAACTAATTTTATCATTCTCAATTAAATTTACAATGCACATCTATCATCCATTTTCAAATTGAAGTTTGTGAAGTTGTGTGTATGTACAATGTGTTTTATTTTTGGATAGATAACTACACAAAATTAAATTTTGTCGGTATTTATTGTAGTCTGATTAAAAAGAAAAAAAATATTACCTATACAAGTTATTAATGCGAAAAATTAAGAATGTGTAACGATTTCTTACCGGAATCCGTAAATGCATTTTTGGACGATGTTGAAACTACTACATGTTTACCGATACTCATAATCATCGTATTTTGCACCTTACAATTTATATTCAATCACATTACTGATGTTGGATGTGTACTTTCTCAAACTCTACAAGAAAGATCGGATGACAAAGAATTTGATTCTGCCAGACGGGCTAATTTAATAAATACATTAAAAGGTCTATCATATATCATTTTAACTGGAATTATGTGTATATTTTTTTTATAATTAATTTTTTTAATAATATTTTTTTATGATTTTGAGAATCTTTTACAAATAATTTACATTAATATACAAAGAATATATATATAACATATTTTTGAATATGTATATTATTTGTAAATCATTATTTTAGAGAGAAACAAATTCATAAATTTAATATTTTTTTATATTTTTAGAGATGCTATATAAATTCATATTTAAAAAACATACAGAATCAAATTTAAAGTCCAGTTCGAATTCATTTTATAAAAGAAATAATAAAACGGATCATTTTTAAAAAGAAGAATTGGATTATTGAGATCAAGATGTTATAAAAATTACATTATACATATTCAATGGTATAATTGGTAAATTTTTCATAATTTCATAATATAGAAAATACGCAAAAAAAATTTTTTTATAATTTTGAACAATGCATGAATTAATTTACAAAGTATATTAAAAGTAATATATATAAACGTTAAGAGATTAATTTGCAAAGAGATCATGTAAAGGAGTTTGAAATGATTATAAAAAATATATTTTGAATGAGGAACGTATATTTTTCTTTACATTTAACGCAAGAAAAAACATATCCAATTATTTTTGATATTTCACATCATAAGAGATGTCATATTAATGCATTTTGTTAATTGGTTGCAACTTTCAAAGTTGACTGACACATTTAATAAATTGTTGTTAAATATTTATTTAATAATCATATTCATACGAATAGCAGGTGCATTATTGCACATTGAATTAAAAAGCTACAAGGGAAATGCCACCATTTTACAATAATCTATTTGAAAAGTAGTACTTCAATAATTTTGTAATCTGTACATGTATATATTGAAGTTGTTGTTATACAGCATATGTATTAGTATTTACAATTAATTATACAGGATTATTTGTGCAAGCATAGTTTTATCATTTCTTTAATGTTTTTATAGTTTCTTTATTACATAAATATTTTTTGTTTATTATATGAAAGTAATCATTTGAGAAACACAATAACATAGATTTTGATATGCTATAAACATATGCTTTATTCTTCAGTCAATATTTTATATCAGAGATTTAATTAATTATAAATGAATAAAAGAATATTAATAAAAGATCTATTGGTGCATGATTTCGAATATAATTAAAACAATTTTAAATTAATATTATAAATGAAAAAAAATCTTAATTTGTGCTCATAAATTTTTGATGATGTGATTTCGATCATTTTTATATTTGAATACCTTGATTTTCATGCGCATTAAATTATAGACATAGATAATATTTCTGATTTATATATTTTATCATTATGTCAGTTTTGAATGAATACAGTAAAACGATTCATATCACTCTATAGAAGGCATCCTTTTATCAACCAGAGTCTTAGTAGTTGTAATTTTTTATATTCTGATTAGCCTTTTCTTGTTGTACTATGTGATTAGATAATTGATATCAGGAAATTAGCAAGAGACAAAAGTATTTTCTTACTTTCATATTTCCATTTGTTAGATTAGAAAACTGTGTATTCAGTCATTAGAGTGTACGAAAGTTTTTACATTATCAATACCCTGAGTACATGATTATTGTATGATAACTGAGCATTTGTTAAATAAAGTACTCCATAAGTTTTGTCTGTTGTAGTCTATACTTGTAATCAATGAGTTTCTGATGTTGGTATATATTATAAAAAAACATTTTTTTCATTAAAATCGTTTCATTAATTCCTGTTTGATATTTATTTTCTTTTTTCTTCTCAGCTAATTCTGTTTATATTCTCTAACCAAATACATATCAAACCATTTATTTTTATTTATTTATTTTTTCTTTTTACGCGTAGAGATATAAAGAATTCGTACTCTCATTTAAAGTAAATATCCTTCACATTTGTTTCATCATCTCGTTTTTTTCTTTCTTTTTTCTTTTTTTCCACATTCTTGTCATTCATCACATAAAGGTATTATCGATGTTAGATAAATTTTTTCTATTAGTTGCCGATCCGGCACAATTAACACCTTCATCTTCAAATGTAACCATTTTTTCTCGACTTCTTGTTGTAGTATTGGAAGCATCCAATAGACGTCCTTGATTTGTTACCGATGTATTGGTTGTAAGGCCAGAAGCTGGTGGTGTTATTACGGAAGAAGGTCGTAAAGCTGATGTGGGAGGTAAAGGTGCTACCGCGATATCGGTAACTACAGTAGCAGCTAAATTAAACTCGCTAACACTTCTCGGTACAAAATATTCGAAATGTAGAGAACTTTCTTGTTGACGATGTTGATGATGATGTTGATGATGATATTGAGGCGATAAACAGCTACGTCTCGTTGAATGACCACGTTGAAATATCTGAGATGTTGACATATTTTTTTCTGTAGATGTCTTTTTGCGTGGCAAAGAATGATGACCTGGTGACAATTTCATGGCAGTACTCGACGAGTGGGCCAGGAGTTTCCCGTCACTAGGGATCCTGGCCTGATGTTGTCAGGATGACGGCACCGTGGACATGGCGATCGCTTCTTCTTCTTGTTCTGACAATCTTGAATCACTGGTACCTCCTCCATCGTCAAGTTCGGTTTTGATTCCAGGTGTGGCCCCTATTACGAACAAGGACAGTAGAAAATAAATTGAGCAATATACATGTTGAATAGATGATAGTGGGGTAACACACAACAGCTGTATTTATTCAGATTGTTACTAGCCCAGTAGACAGCACAGGATATCCTGAAGATATTTCCATTTTCGAAACATTTGAAATATTTTCATCGATTGTTAGTGATCACAGGGCTCCTCAAATAAATTTATTATTTATTGACAAATACAAAATACGACAAATACTTTCTACCGATATCGTAAACATATTAATGGATATCCGATATCTTGTTATCGATTTTACACGAGATTTTATACGATGATTTTAATAACAATTTCGTTTAAAGGGCTTCATCAATTTTATTTTTTCAACGAATTTAGGCATTTCATTTATATAAAGTAACACGTTAGTTTACAATTGGTACGAAACGATGCTATTTCGTATTGGCTAATTAAAAACGTTTTGCTCTTTCATGGGAGCCGAACGTTATAGACGAAAATTCATTTCAAAAGGTCTCTCTACTCGTTCCCCATTGAATCTGCCTTCGTCAGGGATACCTGTACCACCAATAGGGCCGACCACCACACCCGATGACATGCCACAGGTTCTACCGAAGACCCTGACCACGCGTACCACCTCCTCCTGGACGAGGTTGAAGCACATGGCTATCAGGCCCATTCCAGCAAGTATATACAACGAGCAGGCACACAGGCTGAGTTCTTCCAATGTAGTCGATGGTGCATTATGTCCAGTCGGCATCAAATCTCCGAATCCGATGGTTCCGAGACTCGTGAAGCAGAAGTATCCACCTTCTAGAAGACTCCAACCCTCCAGACGATTGAACATCACTGCACCGCCGCATATATATAGTAGCATTATTACCAGGCACAAACTAATCGGTATTCTCACAGAATATGTTTCCATCATATACGCGGGTGATGAAGTCGAGGATGGCGACAACGAGCATGGTTGCAAATGACGTTTACCATTCCCTGCCATTGTATCCTGATAATATAAACATTTCCATGTATATGAATTTCGAAAAGAAAACTGATCACCATTAAGTACTACCTAAATTTTACCTGAAGTGCGGTCGTTGAACTAGTAGTAGCATGTAAGAGGCCTTCGCTACCACAGTCGAGTAAAATGGCACTGTTCGTACCTCGTGTCCCAAGATCATCGCAGGAACTATCGCGACTAGTTGAATAATAATTCCCCGTCTTTGTTTCTATATGATTATCATAACGGTAGGACTTGCTTGTGATACCACCGACCGGTGGCGGAGGCGGTGGTGGTTGTTGTTTTTTAATGCAGTTTCGTGGAATGCACATGCGACCGTACAAACGTCGAAAACTTCTAGCAAGAACGTCACCTACTGTGCTTAGATAAACCAACATAAGAGGTATACCAGCTAGAGCGTAGATTATGGTAATTAGACGACCCCAGACTGTACGTGGAGTTACATTACCGTATCCTAGAAACCAAAATAGTTAATTATATATTAGACTGTTTCTTTCTCATAATGATACTTTATACTATTTTTATGAAAAACATTATACCTATGGTAGTAATGAGCGTTAGGGAATAAAGCAAACTGCCACTGAACGTCCATCGTCGTTTATCCACTTCGGTATCTCGCGCTTGATGAGTTGGTGGTACCGATTCATAAGGTGTTGACGTACGCTTTAAATCACGCGAAAGATTTTCTTGAAACTCAAGAATTTCTTTCGTCGCCAGTCGCGTCCAATTTTCCTTGTAAAGAATATTCAAATCTTCGGTTATACTCCAAAGTCTTTCGACTGTCCTTTCCCTTAACTCAGTGGCAACATTTTCGTCTTCCAATGTTGAAAGACTGTAAGATCCTTCCTCGTTCTTTGCAACTTTCGATGATGCGTCTATCAAAGACTCCTACAGAGAACACAATGATATTATTGAATATTATTAAAAGGTCCTTATTTCTTTTATCTCTTAGATCGAAATACTTTTTGATCTTTTGCTTTATTTTTCTTACCGATTTAAGGCCACCCTCTAACGCCATAAAAGCGAAAGCACCAAGTAGGGTGTAACCAAGAACAAGAACGCAGACACCAAGACTGGCTAATAATCCTGGTGTGTTCGTTGAAGTGGACGTGCTGCAGCTACAGCAACAACAAAGCAATTCAGCACCTCGTACCGAACTGCTGATTCTTAGGGAATCGGTGTTCCCCCCATTTCGTCCGGGACAACATCTCGGTGCCCTTTGGTAATAGTCGCCGGTGTTTTGCATCATTATGCCGCCTAATTGCACCACCACCACCACCACCACCACCACCACCACTGCCGCCGCAGCTGCAGATGCAGCGATCGACGCCGCAGCTGCAGCCGCAAGCGGTAACGTCCTATCGTTGTTCTACCGTTCCTTTGGTGTCGCCGTTTTCATCCATCTGGTGAGATGCCCGACCTGTCATAGTGAGGGATTGTTTGATTGCTGCTCACGGCTTATTTCAAACCAATCAAGTTTCGAAAATGATTAATGACCCTTTAGTTTCGACGCTAATTCAGGATTGGACATAGGTTTATATATACATATATACGCGAATATATCCATCTTACACCAGAAATTAACACGATTGTAATATATATATATATCTAGGCTACGGATTGGTTATGCATAATTGAAAATTTTATCGAACACTTGACATATACTCGTTTCTCTCAGATTGGAATAAACCACGGAAACAGGAATTTTGCTGCGATTTTAATGAAATCTATTTAATAAATGAAGAAAAATAAGATTGGAATTTGAGAGAATCTCTGTCCTATTTATATTGGTAAATATTCTGATATCAATACTATATCAACCTTAATGCTGTAAGAATCAACACGTACCTGGTTATTTATGATGAGAAAAATTCATATGATATCGTAAATTATACTTGCATATTTTTCGAATTATCTTAAAGTTTACGATCGGTAAATTATAGAAAAATTCAAAGTTACTCATTCAGAAAGATAAATCATCGTTCGTCTTTATTGAGAAGTTATATCGGTCTTTATCTTTTTTTATTCTTCCGCATTTTTT